TTATTTGTGCTACAGCTTCTAGGATTATAAATACCATAGTATTGTTACCTGCACACGTTGTTTCTGAAATACGTAGGCTTCTTCATTGCTCAACAGCCCACACTCAATGATAGGATGGGAATCATTAGAGCTCTAAAATTTAATTAGCTGATCATAGAGTTTAATGGTAGGATTGCCTTGCCCATGTCTGGAGTTCAATGCTGCACTCAGCAATTGATTCCAGCCTTTGTGCACTTGTTCACTTAATTTAAGTCAACTACAAACAGTGATTTGAGTCTCTGTTTCTGGTTTAGTTTGGGTGATGGGTGTAATTTTCCAACTCGCTTGGTGATTATGGATCCAGAGCAACTAACTGTCTCAAGCCAAAATGAACCTGCCAAAAGGTAACTATGACACTTAAGTTGTTGATTTACTTACTGTTTCATACTTATCTGTTTTTAAAAAAAAAAAAAAAAAAAAAAAGAAGAAAAGAATTTTCAAAATTATTTTTTGTTTCAACAGTTTAAAGTTGTTATAAAGTTCAGAGTGAATTTGTAAGTCTTCACAGAAGGATAGGATGAATCAAGACTAATAAATGTGCTGCTTGATGCAGAAGGTTTGTTTCTTGGTTTTGGCAGAGGATGTGGCTGTAAGGAAACAGAACAATACAGAGAGTAAAAACAGCTTATGAGCTCTCTTTTTAACAACAAGAAATAAAAATCCTAAGGAAGACAGTAATGGAACGTTTAAAAAAAATTAATATAATTTTTCAGATGAGGGGAGAGTAGGGTACACATCACTTGCATTTCTCCAGCATGCCTGAGCAAGGGATAGTGAGACATACAATGCAGAAGAGGTAGATGGCTGTGTTTGTTGGTGATTTTGAGCAGTGGAGTTCTTTTAGCTCAATACTACTTATATCTCTTAGTTTGCATGGTTTGTATCTTCAGTGACATTGACATGATTTTGAAAAGCTTCTGGGTAGTTTGGTGAACTTGTGGCTGAAGGTTCTTGTCAATAGTCACCTGAGTTATCAGGCTGTGGGGTGCAAAGGCAAGACTGAGAAGCTGAGGAGTTCCTGCCAGTACAACCTAAGCTGTGGAATTTACAGGAAAGCAGGACCCTTGTGAACAGCAGTGGTATCCTTTTGCATTAGGAAGATGTTCATCAGCACAACCTAACTTTTGTTGATGGGAAAAAATGGCATTAAGTTGTTCCTCCAGACAGTATGGGATATGGTTTTTTTTGTAATTGTGTGGCAGTACTGTTGCTGTCACTGCACCATCTGTAGTCTATTCATCTGTGCTTTTTATCCATTGGAACTGTCAGTGGCCTATGCCAGGTAAGGGTTTAGAGTAATGCCAAGCCTATAGGGGAATTGTAAAGCAGCGTATCATTTTTAGTTTGCAGCATAGCTTTTTAGTTTGTTTTGCTCTTGATGAGGTTCACTACTCTAAAAATGCCTGAAATAAGCAGGTTTTGCTTTTACAGAGGTCCTGTTAACTTTGCTTACTTTTCAGCTCTGGAGCCAATCAGCCCTTTCCTACTCGACCACTCAGTGAATCAAAAAATCGATTGCTAGCCAGTGACAGTCAGTGGGTAGAAAGTGGCCCTGAAGATGAAAATGTTAAATCAGGTAGACTGCACCATAACATTTCCGATGATCTTACCATTCTGGTTTTGTTGGGTGGGGTTTCTTTTTTGTTATTTATTTAAGCCTGAAAGGTCCTTAGGAACTGTTTGGAGTCAAGTAGAGGAAAACTTGCACTGTAAAGTCAGATGTTTATAGGTTAAGGCTAACTCGTGTCTTCTACACTCTTCTCCAAAATAGTTTTAATGGTGAGATAAGGAAATGGGTAAATATATTTGGCTTTCTTGCATCCTCTTCTAAGATATTTTGAGTTCATTTTCTTTTTGATTAGTGGGAGGAAAATATTTCTCTAAAATAGGCATAGCACAATAAACATAGTTTCTGGTTTGGAATCTTTGGTATTTGGTATGCAAATCTGCAAAAACACATAATTGAAATTCTCTCACATTTTAGGTACAAAAAAGCATATTATAGTTTCATTGGAAAGCTGATCTCAGCTTATTACTAACCAACATCTCAGTGAGAAACAGGTAAGTAAGACTAACATAACTGATGGCTCTTTATACATTCAAGTAAATTCAAATCTTGAGGTCAGAAGTCACTATTCTTAGAATGCAGAGAAATCCTCTGATGTTGGGTGAGCAATAGGTCTAAATAAAACTCAAAATAGTTCTCCAGGAGACGAGAATGAGAGTAATGCTGTAGTGCAGGAAACATGACTGGATCTGAGATGAGTCAACCTAATGCTGCAATTTAGACTGAAGTGCACAATGCTAGATTTGTTACCTGACAGGGAAAAGAATCTGCTCTGCTAAACAAGCAATTTCAAGATGAAATGTTTTGATACTCTCTCAAGGAACAGCTCTTTAACGCTTCTATTAATTGCATATTTATTTGCCATCCTCTGCTCTTGGACTTTAAGAAGCTGTGCCCAAGTTCAGTAGGTAAAATATAGGTATCTGCATACTGTTGCATACTGCATGACTCTTTCACATCACTTGCACTGACAATGAGCTGCTTCAGTGCACTCTGCACTCTTTGCACTTAAGAAATACAGCGAGTGCTACTGCTTCCCTTGGTGTGTTTCCAGTGACTGAATTAGATCTCTCTGATGTTGACTTCATACCACTGTGAGTTTGTAAACCCCTATCAATTTTTTTCTCTCTAGAAGAGGAAGAAATTTTATTTGGACAAATAACAACCATAGAAATAACAACCAGGGGGCTGAGTCATCCCTCCCTGCACCTCTTTTGTTAAAGAGATCTAGAAGTCACTCACGGGGAAAATGTTTTTCTGTGATCCCTGACATCGAAGTGCTGCAAGAGCTGGGAGACAGACCTTGCAAGGAAGTGCCATTTTCTTTGGAGATAAAACAATCTTCAAGCTTTTTGAGCTTGTTAATTTTAGGTTCATCTTTTTTTAGTTTAAAAAAAAAAATCTAATAAGTGAGGGGAGAAAAAAAAAAAAAGCGTATCTCAAAGGTCTGTTCAGGGGATTAACCAAAATGAATTAGAGTAGTTAATTTACTTTTCTTAACACTTCTCCACAGAATGTACAAATGGATGCCTTGGTGACATATATTCAGTCTCTAGCTCTATAAAATCTAATCTGATCTAAACAGGTTACTCAGTCTTTTCTATAATTTGTAGAAAGGATTAGTTAACTTCTGAGATCAGTGTATGCCAATAGTCTTTGACTAAAGAATTACAGAATCTGCTTAACCTTTCTTTCTCCTGACTTGGAGAGGGACCACAACTGACTGACTTAGACTGTTTAGAGCTAGCAGTATCTTGCACACTGAAAGGCCACCAGTGGCTGCATCAAAAGAGGAGAGGCCAGCAGGGAGAGGGCAGGGATTGCCCCCCTCTACTCTGTCTTTGTGAGCCCCCATCTGAAGTACTGTGTCCAAGCCTGAGGCCCCTCGTACAGGAAAGATGCTGTTGGAGTGGGTCTAGAGGAGAACCATGAAAATTATCAGAGGGCTGGAGCGCCTTTCCTATGAAGAACAGTAGAGGGAGTGTGGCTTGTTCAGCATGGAGAAGAGAAGGCTCTGGGGAGACCTCATTGTGGCCTTCTAGTGCTTGAAGAGAGCTTACAAGAAGGATGTGCCAGCTGTTCTGAGTTCGGTTGGATTTGATTGGTTTCTCTAGGCCTGCCTGGTTAATTTTAGTTCCTGTGCAATTGTATGCAGCAGTGCAATAGTTGTGAGATCCAAAATGTTTCCATGTACTTTGCAATACCCTGCAATAAACAGATAGTTGTATTTTTTATTTTTATACTTATTACATGCAAGAGAAGCAACCAAATTTATGGCTGACCTAAGTAGAGTTCCCAAATGATTCTATTGAAAGGAATGCTGATCACCCAGCCAGCATTCCCCCAGCCTCACCTATGTGAATACCATTGATGTCCCCACATCGGTTGGATTTCATTAAAAATTCCTGTCATCCAAACATCCAAATGACGTTAGCTACAGATCAGTAGCAATGGGATTTGATGTTCTTACTGGAGATAATCTTATTACACATAGGAGGTTTAAAAGGAGAAGAAAAAGAAAGAAGGAAAAAAAAAACCCTCTCAGAAAGCTAATTATGAGTTAAAGTTATTTTAACTGCAGTCCTGAGTCGAGAGTCAGTAAATTATCCGTGTTATCTAGCTGCATTTGTATAATGCAGTATGATCCTGTTTTTTTCAAAGCTAATGGTACGATTGCACTAATTACCTTTTCTTGTTTCATTAGGTTTCTGCAACACATTTTGTGCTTGAATGTTACTTAATTTTGTTTGGAAGATTTGATCAGTAAAAATGGAACATGAGCATTTTATGAGGAGACAAGAAATTGAAGTTTCACAGTCCAATGGATTCTTGTAAGCACTATTTGCAGAGCAGGGAAGTTCAGACAGATGCCTTAAGATTCTTCATGTGCATTTATGCAGCACTGAATTATATACTGCTACCAAAGGGCCAAATCCTGAAGTGCCCTGCTTGGATGCACAAGGTCCAGAGTGGGAACTATGCATTTCTGTATGCTGCAGTGGCAGGGACTGCTACCTCCCCTCGGGCAAACTTCATACGGTAGGCACTGCAGAAGTCACTTCCATAGCAGGTCTCAAGGGTACAGAAAGAGAAGAAGAAAAAAGGATGGAGAGGAGGAAAGCTTGGCTGATGAGCCTGAAGTACAGCTGTTCACAGCTCATAAACCAGCTGGTGGGAGAGGAAGGTACTGGATGACACATTCGTGGTCATAGCTATGTAAGTCTTTCAGGACTGAGGATTCCTTCTGCTGACTGTGCTGTGGAACAAAACAATGCTAACAAAGTAAAAGCCTTTTACTTGGCCGTTGTTTTTTTGCTATCAGATTGAACCCCCTCATCCTCCTAACTTGACCATGTAACTATATCAAGAACATAGCTCAAAGAAGTGAGCTCTCTTTTAGTTGATAAAAACATGGTTTATTGCTTTTCAACAATTTCCTATCAGCATAAAAAGAAAATCCAATTGAAAAAGGAATTAACAAACTGTTACATTTTCAGTTAATGTTTGCAGTGTTCTGTATGAGGCAGTAACAAAATGGCAATGTACCCCTGAGAAAAATCTTAGTGCAGTCACGTGTCGTTAGAAAATGGAACTGGAAGCGTACTGCTTTTTATATGGGACTCATGATGGTTTATAAATACTGTTTTATACTTTTGTTTTATCTTTTTAATAAAAACACAAGTTTTTATTGGTTCTGAAGTACCATTTAAACAAATTTCAAGTACTTATGAGAAAGTTAGTGTTGGATCATGCACTTGTGTTAACACACCAAAACTCTGTATGCTGTCTGCTTCGTCTGCCACTTTCAAGTCGATTTTAAGTGATGCTGAACTGCTAAAGATGAGTGCTTTGTTCAGTGATGTACCATGTTCACAAAAGGCAAAACATGTTTCCTGGGTTGAGGAATAAAGTCCAACTAAGCTCAAGACCTACAGCAAACATGGTTTTTCTTTTCGCCCTACTCCTCTATAGAGAATACTGTTAATTCAGCTTTTGATGTTCCTGGCATTTTGCACATGACAGAAGTGAAAAATACTGTTCTGTGGTCTGAAGCTTTTCTGATGTTCAGCTGATGCTGATTACAAAGTCGTAAACCTCTTAGACAGAAAATGAAGGTGGTAGCTTTGTTGATCTGAACAAAAGGAACTCTTTCGCTTTCTTTGCCAGATTGATCACTACTTTTCCCCATCACTGTATTGGAGTTACTTGGATATCAAGTATACTCCAAGGTTTAAAACAAATATTTTCTTTGTCTTTGACATTTTGGAAAAAGTATTTTTTCCAGTCTTCTAGAACAGGAGCACTTCAGTGACCTATGAGCATATTATGGTCACTGTCAGATACTGCTGAGACAGAACTGAAGGTACAAACCTGCATGTTTTGTAGAAATTGCAAAATGTTCTTCCAACTTTGTGTGATAAATATTGCATTTGCCAGTTTTCAAAGAAAAAACATTTGCTATGCATTAATCTGAAAGGTTTCGCTTTTTCTTCTCAAATGTCAAGTGAAAAGCACTCATCTAAATATAAGTTTTCAGGAATACTGACATGTTGATCTTAGAAGGAGAGAATGCATCCGCAAAATTTCTTGGGGAAGAGGATGGAGACGCAAGCCTGAGCTCAGTATTCTCATTCTAAGTACCAAAATGTGCAGTCCAGAACACCAGTAGAATTGTAATGGAAGACCCTGGATATCATCTTTCTTTTACTGGATCACTGTATCACGGCAGAGGTAACAAATACATGTTTACACCTATGTGTGAATGGTGTGTACTATAAGCTAATATCACTATAATATTTGATTGCTTAAGTCAGGATAGTTAATCTACAGGAAAAAAAATGTAAGTAAACAGACTGGGCTGAATCCGTGCGTGTTGTCTGGTAAGGTGCCGTGCGTTTTGGTTCTTTTGAGAGTTCTCATCTGACAGCTCCATAGCCGTAAGCAAGGGCATCCTGTGCTGTATCAAAGCAGAGTGGGATAGTTTCTGGCTTGCTCCCTCTTTTTGCCTAAATGCAACCCCAATGAGGATGAAAAGCTGCTTGACTGTAAAGCTGCAAGCAGACTGCTGCTGGCAGGGCTCTGTAGGAGCACACTAGGATGTCCTTTCAGCCCACATCCACGCACTGAGTCGCTGCATGCTGCCAGTGAGAGGAGCTGACCTGCGTGGTCAGGAGGCAAGAAGGGAAGACAGACAGTGCCGGGTCAGGAGGTACATGCTGTTTCTGTGCTTTAAGCTGCTATGTGTCAGCAAGTCTCGCAAATACTTACGTTTGTCACTAAAAATAACAGGGCTTAAGCTTTTAAATCCCTCAAAATAACTGCTAGCCACGAGTAGCATTGTAGTGACTGTAGTATAGTTGACACTGGCTGCAATCAGAAGCTATGCTTTGGTGTTTCCGAAAGCTTGATTTTCTTCTATAAAAAAATCCATACAACAATCACAAGCACAAAATGACTTAAACTCCCAATGTGAGGACAGAAGTGTAATGCAGGATGAGATTACGGTGTTTTCTCCTTGAAGATTTAGAAATGCCATGAGTTGATGAATCTCTCCCTGTAAAGATGAAGAAGACAGATGCATAAGTAGAAAGGAAAACTTTAAACTATTTTAGAAACCTCAAATTATTTTTTTTTTTTCCTGAATATTGGTTTCTTTACAGACTGTGAAGGTGCACATAAGTGCTGTTCTTACCAAACATGTATTACTGGCAGAGGGCAGGATTGTGGTAGGTTTCTGGAATAACTGACAAGTTGGATGCATCTTAACCCCTTGATTGAAAACCTCCACTTCAAATATTCAGGGCTTTACATCTAAGGAAGCTCTGGCACTTTTACTCATCAGAGTAGAGAAATCACAGGAACATGTTTGTTAAACCTATGCTTTGAACATGGAACATGTGGGTACCGAGCTGCTTTTGGCATAGCAGCTAGAAACTGGGCATCCAGAGTGTTCAATGCACCGTTTCTCAGGTACTCTTAATTCCCTCATTTGGTCTTGCTTTTCTTTCTTGTAAATAATCTCTTGGGGTTTGGGAAGTTTTCATTAAGTTTGGTGCCATTCGATATTCACTCACAGTTCTTCATTCATTGTAGTTTGAAGTTTGACCAGTTGTAGCTCACCACAGCCCCAAGAGGAGGAAAAGGAACTAGCAGGATTAGTGTGTGGCACTCGTACCAAGAGATGCATCAACCCTTGACAAAAATGGGAAAGATCTGCCTAGATCTGGAGCACTGATTGAAGAAATTCATTTAGAATTTAAAAAAAATATTTTGAGCTTCGTAGTTTACATTCTGTAGGGAGAGTGGCTAAAATAATACAGAATTGAAGGATTCAGGTATGAAGAGTCTCCAAATAGCTATTCTAGCATTGAGTGCAGATCAAGGTCACATTTTTCATATTACTTTAAAAAAAGAAAAAAAAAAAAGCTGGTATCTAATGTAAGAGGATCTTCTATCTCTAAATGGCACCAAAGAGAGCAGCTGCATATACAGTTACTTGTTACAATACTGAGCACATACACTATATTCATTTCTATCAATTTATTTTGTATATATAGACAGCTTTGTATATGTATTTTTCTTAATTACATAACTCATGAAATGGAATGAAATAAAGTTGTACTTAGTGCTGATTCTGATTAAAACTGGTCTTTCACCATTTCTTGGGTTGGTTTGTTTGCAGCAATTACTTGAATCTTGTTTCCATGAGGTTGTGAAGTCTGATTTTTGTTTACAGAATTGCTTGAATTGGTTTTGAAGTCTTCCCTGCCCCCAGCCACAAGAAGCACAGAGCACCTGTGTAGAGGGAAGCACGTGCTGGGGGTGAAGTATCTGCTCCTGTTGGCACCTGTGCACTAACGGTGACATGCAGATGCTCTTCTGTTTATATTACTTAGCTGACAACTTAAATGCTCAGCACGTACCTCTCCAATTTCTCATCTTTTAACCTGTTCCTTTCAGCTTTACTGTAGTGTCTTAAATCTTTCTTAACAGCAGATATTTGCACTCACAAAAACATCACAGAAAGCAGCAGTAGTCCTGCTGTTGAAGTGTTCAGGCTCCCTCTCTGTTCTCTCACCCCTTTTATCCTTAACAGAATTAAACATGCCTGGGTTCTTTCCAGTTCTGTATTTGCCAGAAAGGGTCATCAGGTGTCACACTAACGGTACTCACTGTTCTGCTTACGCCATTATTTTTAATTTGCTGCCTAAACTTACACTGACCTGTATTTAATTTTGGCATTAAATGTAAAAGATGTGTAATGACACAGTTACTATTTTTGTGTATGCTGCAGATAGGACTAGTCCTATGCAGAGAACACACATTGCCATTTATAGTTTAATACTTGAGTGATTTTTTTAAAATGAGCTTTTATAAATGAATTAAATACGAAGTCACATTACGTTGCATCAGAGTTCCTTCGTGTTTGAATTACACTGCAGTTTGCTCATATGTATACTTTTCCACGTTATCTCAAGTCATTTACAAGCATTCAAGATTATAAGATCATTTTAAGTGCACTCAAGATTTTGTACATCAGTGTTCAGACCTGATCATAGAAGTAGAATTTATGTTTAAACAAATTGTATTATTCCAGGCCTCTTTTCAAAAGTGATAAAATATCGATGTGTTTGACACACAACTTCTGTCGATGAATGCAATACCAACTTACTTAATAAAGTATGTGAAATAATCTGATAATTGCTTAGCTGTAGCGTGCGTGCATTAGAGCAGCAAGAACTGCTGCATACCTGGGAAAGGTTCTGTCTGGTGCTGGAAACAGTTCTCACACCTGACCTGCACTGACCCAACATGGTACTCATTCCTGGCATGGTTCCGGCTCACTTGGTCTCAATAGGAGAAATAAAAAACTTATTGTCCTGGAGAAACATCATCAGCCACAAACCAAGCATTACTTAGACATCAAGCTGCCACTCAAACAAGAATCAGTAGTACTCCTTCTCAGTCAGAACTAAGTTCTGTGTAAGTGGGGCAGGGACACAGAAATTGATGCTCCTGTTATGACAAAGATATTGATACTGTTCCCAGGAAGTTGAATGTTTTATATTAGTTGCAGTCTCTTACAGACACAGTTCTATTCTTCTTGATACGTGCCTGATGGAGTGAGTAGAACATCAAGTAGCTTCTGCTGTATTTCAAGTATTAATATACAAATACAGAAGTAGCCCCTTTTAGAGCAAAGGGACAAGTAAAAGCCATCTGGTCTGTACAGATAATCCTTTTTCAATACAGCCACTGCATTCCTGCTTTCCAAAGAAGTGAAACTACAAACCTAGTTCAAGTCATCACCGCAGCTGCAACTCACACTGTCTTATGCAAAACCCTTAAGCTACTGGAAGGACAGTCTTCTAATGTGGCAAAAAAAACCCAAACACTGTTCTGTAGGATTACTTTAATGTAAGATTTTGTACACCATAGCAGTCTGATTTCTCACCTGCCTTTGTTACACTGCATTACAGAGCAGCCACAAGGGGTACAATACTGCATCTCCCAGCAGCACAAGTACAGCCGTGCCACCGCTCAAGAGGTCCACTTCTTTGAGACATTTAAGTGGTTCAAGTGGTCGCTCATATATCTATGCTCAGGGAACTTGGACGACTTCATGGCTTTAAAAGCCTCCCATCTGGCCACTCTCACATCCTTGTTGTGATTGTACTCCTCCTGCCGTGTCAGGTACGGGCGGCTCAGCCAGTATTCGTTCTCTGCTTCAATTTCCAGCCTTCGGATCATGGCCTGCTTCATGGCAATGGTTACTGTTCTCGGCCGCCTGTATTTTCCAATCCACTGCTTTCCAGGGATCCTCTTCCCGAGTAGGGCCACTGTTAAAAACATTGCGCCTTAAAAGAGAAACGCACACACACACAAAAAAACACGTTATTTAGGGAAAAGAAAAAAAAAAAAAAAAAAAAACCAGAGAAAAATTCGCCTGTATTTATTGCAGTGCCTTTTGTCTCGCTATTAGAAAGCTTTCAGCTCAGCCGCACGGCGGCAGCCACCCGCCGCGCACGGGCACGGCCAGCACCGGGACGGAGCTGCCCCAACGACCCGGGACCCACTCGCGTCTCCGGGCGCCGTGCAGACCGGCTGCCCCGCGGCACCACCGCCCGAGGGTCTCCGGCACCCACCAGTTCCAGGCGAGCCTCGGCTCTAACGAGGATCAGGGCGAGGAGGGCGAGGAGGGCGAGGAGGCCTCGGAGGCCGCTGTACCGGACCCCTCGCTCCCGGCCCCCCCGCTCCCGGCCCCAGCCCCGCGGCGGGCAGCAAGATGGCGGCAGCGCTCCTCGCGAGAGTTGCCTGCGGCACTTCTCGCGAGAGCTCGCGGCGCCAACGGGGCGCGAGTAGGCGCCGTTTCGAAAGCGGTGGCGGGTTCCAGGGTCGCGCGGAGAGCTGATTGTCGCGACCGTTGCCGTGCGGTCCTTGCGGACCCGCGTCCCTCTGCTCCACGGGCGATGGATGTGTCGAGGGGCTTCTTCGGCAAACTGCGCTCCCTGGCCCTCACGCTAGAGAGGGAGGCGAAGCAGCTGGAGCGGGCGCTGCGCGGGGAGGACGCGGGTAAGTGCGGGCACCGCCTCCCGCGCGCCCCCACAGCGGCGGCGCCCGGAGCCCAAAGGCTGCGCGGGTCTGGCGAGGCGAGCTGGGCGCTGCGGGGCGGCCCGCGCTGACAGCACCGCCTCGGGTTCCCGCTGCCGCTGCGCCTTGAGCTGCCGGGACGGGGTGCGCCTGTGCTGGAGGGGTGTGGTGGATCTTATGTGAGCACAACTCCGCGCCGCCTCTCTGAGGCCTCCGTGGTGTGCAGTGAGCTTTTACCACGTAACGTCTGTAAGTAAATCTAGCCCGGCCTCCAGCAGCTCCAGGGATGGGGCACCCGCAGCTCTCTGTGCAGCTGTGCCTCACCGCCCTCTGAGGAAAGAATTATCCTGCTATCTGACCTAAATCCTAAAGCTGTTCCCCCCCCCTGTTCTGTCAGTATCTGACTGTGTGAAAAAAGTCGGTCTCCCTCCTGTTGGTAAGCTCCTTTTCAGTACTGAATCACATTCTTGTTTTGAACCTTGTCATGGATCAGTACAGGGAAACACACATTCAGGGCTTTTTCTCTCTCTGCACATACAGCTGAAGGCTCTAGTTGAATGTATCGCCGTGCTATGGCTTGTCGTGATGCAGGGCTCCTCTTTTACACTATTTATTGGCATTAGCCTTGATATCCAGTGAAAGAATAAAGTCAGTTGACTGCTGCATTTATGAGTGGACAGCACCAAGGTCTGCTAGTGGAGATTACATTACATTACGTTGTACCTGCATGCTAAATACTAATTCCCCACTTTCTTTGAATTTCAAAACTCTTTCATGTGATATGCACATCGAAGACTATGAAGAGGAATCTCCGATGAGGGTTTTGCACGACCTACACTGCGAAATCAGGGCTCTGAAGGTAATGCCTTAACTTCTTGGTAAACTGGGGCAGAGGCCGCGTCCATAAACCGGTGGTTGTGCTTTGATCCTTAAGCCACAACGCAGCCTTGTTATTCAGCAGTTCTGACTTTTCTATTTACTTACTTCTAAGTCCTCGCTGTGGCTACAGGGCAGCACCCAAAACTATGGGATGCCTGTGCTAATGATGTGCTTGCCATCAGTGTTGTCACTCGGGCCAGCAGGGATGCAGGTCATGGGGAAGTTGTGGTTACACCGGGGCACAGGGGTGGGGGAGCCGGATTCAGGAGAGGTATGCCCAGCTTTGCTCAGTGAGAAGCACTTAGCATAAAGAACGCCCTTGCAGGGGATCCTGCACTTCTGTTCGTTTCTTTAACGGAAGTAGACAAAATAGTCAATAGAAATGGGCACGTGTGCAAGTAAGTGAGGAGTAAACCACTCTGTAAACTGGAATTTCACCAGCTGCTCTGACATACATTGTTTGTATTTAAAAGTCCAAACTAATTGTTATGTAAATGCCCTCTTTTTTTTTTTAATGGAGTAAAAGCACATGGTTTTGTCTGGGAGGTCAGCAGGAAGCAGTTACTTCGCTGTGAACTGTCCTCATAATGTTTGTAAGTTTGTGTGCAATTCTGCTCTGTGTTCCCAGTGTTTTGTAACCAAGTTTTCAGGTGTAGACAAGATCTACATTTGCTTGTCCCCATATGAATTGAAGTTATTCCCCAAACACTAAATGTAGAAACAGACACCAGGTGGTGATTTGAAAACCCATTGCTTTGTTTCTCCTTCCCCTCCTTCACCCAAAGGAAGATGCTAATGCTGCTCTTGGCAAGAGTTCCTCTGAAAGGCAAGAAATTAATGACTTTATGAAGGCAAGTGAGATACTGATGCAAAGAAATGCAGCGGATCTTGCAAAAATAAGAGAGCTATTCCAGAAATATGGCTACAAACCACCCGTCGAAGTCCCTACAGGTAATATTTGTTGGCAATGAAGCATTCAAAGGCATGTAATTTTTCTAAAATGTTTCTCTTCCGTTATGTGCACGTGTCTGTTAAGAAGAGATCTGTGGTTTTTGCCCTATAGTAATCTGGGGCTGAAAGGTTCTGTTGTGATCGCTGCTCTAAGGATAAAACATGTAAAATCTTAGAGCTGCATCTCCTGACATGCTCCTGGTTGGTGTGTTTTTCTCTTCACTAAGAGCTGTACAAAGAGGAGAGGTTAGCCATGCGTTCTGATAACCCAGACAGTTGGGCTGCTTCAGCTTCTGAACGATGAGCTACTGCAGATGCACCTGAACTGGTTCATATTCATGTGTTGTTATCCCATAAGCTTAAATCATCTGCTGCTTATATCATGCAGCAGCTCACAAATATTTGGGGGTGTTCCACAAATCACAAAATCACTAAGGTTGAAAAGACCTCCAAGATTACTCAATCTAACCACACCACCACCCCCCACTATTTCCATTCATGTAATACAGAATCATACAAATTACACCATGGCTTATTTCTGTAGTGAACTCATGTTATCTTTTATGACTTTTCAGTCACTGCTTCTTTCTGTACAGTTTGTTCTGCCACTTTTTTACTCTTGCAGTGAGATGGAGCCAGATAAATGTGTTTAAGATTAAAACTTTCTGCCTAGGCTATGCAGGGAGGTTGAATTCTATTAAAAATGTGTTAAGTGTAAGAAATGCGTTCTAAATACAGCTTAGCCTGATAAGAGCTTTTGATAGTTGTAGGTTAAGGTTCAGTGCTTTAAAATGAAGGAAGTAACATTAATATTTAGAGTAATAAATATTAAAAAAAAAAAGACTACTTGGAGCGGGGAGGAGAAAATTCCCAATTTATTTTAAAAATTCTTAAAAGATAAACATCTGACCGAATGAACTCTTCTCTCTTTTGTCAGAGGAGCAAGAAGAGGAGGCGAATGGTGATTTGAAGGCATCTGACCAGAATAAATCTGATCAGGGAGAAGCAGATGCAGCACCTCCTCTTCCTGCCTGTGCTGAGAACCCTCCTGTGCCCGGAGACCCGCTGCGGAGCCCCCAGCTTTCTGATTTCGGCCTATCACAGTATGCTTTCTCCAGGCCCTGGAGTGCATTACATGGACAACAACGTGCAGCAAATGCCAGTCAAGAAAATGCAAAGCACACAACTCCTCAGAAAACGCAGGCCGCCTGTGTTCTGCCCAAAACACCCAAATGCATGCTAAAGATGGACGACTTTGAGTGCGTTACACCAAAACTGGAACACTTTGGCATTAGTGAACACACCGTGTGCATGAATGAAGATTACACCATGGCACTTATTCATAAAACTGCCCAGTCAAACAAGTAAGCACTTGAAGCTCTGATGTTTCTCTATTGATTTTCCCATTGTTTCTTCTTAATGTACCCCTCTCTTGTTGCCATTGCCTATCTTTTTTTTTTTTTTTCTGCTAACAGGTGATTTGTTACCTACTTGTTTGTTAGTTTTCTGTCTACCTTGAACTCTCTGCTCCTCTTTTCGTTTACTCTTTGCAATGCAAACTATTTACAGGAGACTTATCTAAGGTATTTCCTTCCCTGCCTGCATGAGAATGTCTCCAGGACAAGGAGAAAAGGCACAGTATCTCCTGTGAGGTTTTGCTTTATTTAACATAGGGCTTGCATTTGAGGACATGCTGTAGACTTTGTGTTACCAATATAAAAGCATTGGAAGTGGTACTGAAAGAAACTTGTGAAGCACTTGCTTAAATGCCTCACAGTGGGAGCTGGTTGTGTTATTTCTTCTGTTATCCAGCTTCAAGCAGATGCTTCTTTTTGCTCCAGCCTTGGACTGAAAGCACATTTCTAGACTTCTACTCCTGGAAAAGGGTGGTTAAAAGATGTTTGTATGATTTGTTTTAGCCAGGCATCCAATTTAAGAAAATGACAGTATTTAAGAGAAATATTCTGTTCAGCAGTTAAGGATTTGGTGTGTAGAGAGATTTCACTAATTCTATTTTTTAAATCCCTGATGTTTGCTATACAGGTGCTCATGTGAATTTCTTCAGAGCTGTACCAGCTTCAGTGACTTTGTTCCAATGTACCACAATGGTTACATTTCAGTGATTTTTTAATTTTTTTTTTTATATTACTGGCGAGAAAAGTAAAATTGAAGAGATTTGTTTTCTCTTAAAAGAGTTTTGGGTTCTCTCCTGCCAAATAGGCATGGTAGCATTTACACAGCTGTAACATACAGTATTGAAATTGTAATAATTGGAAAGCTGTTACTGAATCCTAAATGATGCAAACTTAAAGTTGGTTCCTCAAATAACATTTTGTTAAAAGCTTCAGCTTGTTGCATAAGTTAAGCTCTTTTGTTGTCTTTAACTTACATTTCATTGAGTTGGTTTTCTGATTGTATTTTTTGTTGTTTTTTTTTGTTGTTGTTTAGTGAGAACTGTCTTAAATGTGATTTCAGTTTTAATTCTGGCTACAATTTCTAAATGAATACATCCACAAATTTTATTTGTAGTTTTATATAACATTTTATAAAAATTAACCTTGCTTTCTGTGTGTATTCACAGTGTGTGTGTGTGTGTGTGTGTGTGTGTGTACGCACTCATACATACACTCATAGTGTTCTCAGTTCCCTTCTGTTCAGGTTTTCAGTTCTGAAGCAAGTAGAAGGAACAATGTATTTTGTGTGCATGCACTGAAGAACTGAAAGCAAAAGTAATAGGGAGAGAGAAAGGAAAAAAAACAATGAACAAAAGTGTTTATAATGAAGAAGAGAAAGTATAACCATAACCCAAACACGTAGGGTCCAAGTATCAATAATATTACTGAGGAAAAACTGACTTGAAAAAGTACGGGGTTTTTTTTTTCCTTATTTTCCCTTAGTTTTTGTGGTGGTTTTTTGTTTGGTTGGTTTTTTTATTTCTTTGTTTTTAAGAAAGCAGACTCACAACAGGAGGTTTGATCTCATGGAAATACACTGCCTCACATGGATTTCTCGAGGCTTAGGCTTTTTACTGAGGAGTTGTAGATCATTGAACCATAGAATGGTTGGGTTGGAAGGGGCTTTTAAGATCATCTGGTTCCAACCCCCCAGTGTAGGCAGGGACGCCTCCCTGTAGACTAAATTGCTCACAGCCCCATCCAGCCTGGCCATGGCCTTCTGGGAGGGGGATTCACAGCATCTCTAGGCAGTGTGTTCCTTATTTTGTAATGCCTTGGCTGGACTGAACCTTTGCGTGGTAGGAGTAGAGTCAGAGACAGTAAATCATTCTAGACTCATGAACAAATGCTAGACAAGTGGTGGAGTTGACAGTATTCCTTCAGTAGTGATTTCTTCATGGTACCTGAGAGCTGATTGAGGTTTTTGGTTTTTCAGCTTAGTTAAAAAAGGCGACGATGAAGTGAATGTAGCAAAAAAGCCACCCAGGGAAATGGCAGTTACTCCTGAGCCAAAAACAAAAGCAGCAGATGAGAGCGGTAAGTTAAAAACGTGTCAAGTAAATGTAGGTTTGCTATTTTTTAACATAACACCATGTGTGTTAACACATGGTAATACTTTAATCTGTTTCTTGTTAAATATAATTAATTTGTGTCCAGTCATTGTTTGCATACTGGTGTTCAGAAAACTCAAGTCAGTGGCTTCTATGGGGAATCTGCGTGCTTCAGTAGAAACCATTGCTTGTTCTTCTACTCATATCCATCTAGAACTGTGCAGAGCTTCCATCGTATCGGAATTGCAATGTATCCGTGCTACTGATAACGGTACTGTTAAGGGAAGCAAACTTTTTCCAAGAATTATCTCTTATGCCTATTTAAAGCCAGTTAAATGAGTGGGAAAGAAACTGCTTTGAAACGGATTAACTACACAGTAACTTACATCTTTCAAGAGTAGCACTGAAATTTCTCTGGAGATGTAATACATTCTTCGGTAAGCGTCTGAAAGTCTTGCAGCAAACAAACAGAATATATGGAAATCTGAAGCAGTATTGGTTTAAGTTGGGCTCTTTCAGTTATATTTGGTAACGAGACAAGATTATTTTGATTAGTTTTGTTTTCTTTATTTACTGCTGTTAGAGCTCTGCAATTTGGGTACGTTTTCATACTAAAATTTGTCAACTAAAATGGTACAGTTGAACTAAAATGGTCCAGGTGTTGTGGAATATATAAATAAATCTGTAACAAGCTAATTGATTTGGAAAACCAAACTGGAGCACTGCAGCTAAAAGTACGTGTGTACATTCACTGATGGATTTATTGATTTTTCACTAATTCCAGCAGCAGACTGTATGGCTTCTCCTATGATACCCGTGTTCTGCACACCTGGTGTGAAAATCCCTCCCCGAGCAGACAGTGCAGCGTTAGCCAAGTCACCAGAAAGAGACAAAGTGCCTCTTCCCAGCCATGCAGCAACGCCACCACCTCCGGATTTTGAAGCCAGGTGGATGACAAGAGAACTCATGGTACTACACAGCAGTTACATCTACTTTCATACACTAGTGCTGTAAGCAGTTCCTCAAATGGCAGTTTGCTCTCCTTTTCCCATACCCGTTTTTCTTGTCCTTGTAAACAGTGCTTTTTTATTGGTAATTTTGTAAGAACATGTTGTTAAATACTTCACCTAAGAAAAATAAATGAACTGAAGGCATATAATAGCTTCTCTGTAACAGGAAATGCAAGAGGAGAAGATCATGTTGGTGACCAAAAACAATGCAACAGAGAAACAAAACATAGAAGACGGCATTCCTTCTGCTGTGAGCTCTGAGGAGTACCTCAAACATTTGGGGAACCCATCTCCTCCCAAAATAAAACAGTACGACCATTTACTCAGCACTCCTCCACCTCCAGAAATAACAAGGATACCAGATGATGTACTACAGGTTAGCTCTGTTATCTGAGTAGTTTTCATATCATAGCAGTAATATTAAAAAGTGTTTGTTTATCAAGTGTTGTTCCTCAAAAAGAAAGAGTTCTCTGCTGCTTACTTAAAATGCATAGATTGTAATCCTGCTTGGAGTTCTAAAGTTATTTCTGTTCCTTTTTTAATGTTGTAGATTCTGTCAAAGTATAACCATAAAGTGGACTCTTCTATATCTAAGAAAATGGAGACTAAGGCAGGAGATGCTGCAGGATTTGGAAGTGATTTCAGTTACTGCAACAAAGAGAACAGGTATGATCAGATGTCCCAGATTTGGTTATGTAATTGAATTTTAATCATAATCATAGGATGGCCTGGTTGAAAAGGACCACAATAATCATGTAGTTTCAACCCCCTGCTATGTGCAGGGTCACCAACCACCAGACCAGGCTGCCCAGAGCCACATCCAGCCTGGCCTTGAATGTTTCCAGGCATCCACAACCTCCTTGGGCAACCTGTTCCAATGCATCACCACCTTCTGAGTGAAAAACTTCCTCCTGATATCTAACCTCCCCTGTCTCAGTTTAAAACCATTCCCCTTCCTCCTGTCACTGTCCACCCTCGTAAACAGCCGTTCCCCCTCCTGTTTCTATGCTCCCTTCAAATATTGAAAGGCCACAATGAGGTCCCCCCGGAGCCTTCTCTTCTCCAAAGAGGAATTAATTTTGAGGAGACTTCAGTGCGTTTAGAAAATTCATACAGCTGCTTGTTCTCCAGCTCCTGTTGACATGTCTAAATATCTAATCTTTGGCACAGTATCTGGCTGGTTCTACTGCAAAGAACAAATATATTTTTTTATTATGAATCCTGGGAAGTTTTTAAGAAAAAATGAAAGGGGAGGAGGAAGGAAACAAATTGAAGAAAAAAACAGTGCAATTATCTGTAGGTATATTTTGCTTTGTGGCAATCAACTGAATGTTTTAATCTTGCGTCAGTAAATTTAGGCAATAAAGAACTGCAGACAGCTACGTTAAGTGGCAGAAGTAATCGCGCTGTCGCTTGGGCACGTTGTGGCTTACCCTGGCAGGCAGCCAAGCACCACACAGCTGTTCTCTCCCGTTAACCCCAGCGGGGTGAGGGAGAGAGTTGGAAGGGGGGGAGTCCACGTGAGAACCCGTGAGATGAAGGCAGTTTAATATAGAGGGGGGGAGAAAGGAGAAGGACTGATGCCCGTCACAATTGCTCACCGCCAGCCAGCTCCCCCAGTGTCACTGCTGGGCATGAGCCACGTGCTGCAGGATGTCCTTTTGGCTGCCTTGGGCCAGCTGTCCTGGTTCTGGCCTCTCCCAGCTCCATGTGCACATCCAGCTCCTTGCTGGCCAGGCAGCAAAGAGGAGCAAAATGATCTTGACTTGGTGTGAGCACTGCTCAGCAACAACTACAACACCGCTGTGTTATCAAATTCTTTCTTCTCCTAAATTCAAAATAGAGCTCTGTACCAGCTACTGGGGAGAAAATTAACTCCATCCTAGCTGAAACGAGACCAGGCAAATACTAAATCGTTTGAAATCCAAAGCCACCTTGGAGCAATATGTGAAATGGAATTGGTCTACAATAAGCATAAGTAATCTTTGAACAAGGGAGTAATGGGTTTAAGAAAAATGTGATTTACATAGACTTTTTTGTCACTGCTCTACTGTAGATATTTCTCATTCAATATAATGTGCTGTACTTCCTGATTTTCTGTTACACTTGGGGTCATTAAAGATTATCTTGGTAAGAGGTGCAAGAAGTATATGGAGTAATAGCTGCAACAAATCCAGCAAGAGATGAAGAGGAGTAGATATCTGAACGTACATGGAGTTAGAATCTGTTTGATTAATCAGATAAAGTAAAGCTCTTATTTTAGCTGTCTTTTTATTGCTGTTGGGCAAGTGTTTGTGTCTTCTGTTGATTCAGAATATGACAGAGGTAATGAGTTCATGAACACTTCTGGATGTATTTGCAGAGGATATCCTGATTTTTTCAAGTCAGACATTTGAAATCAAGCTGAAGACTATTTCACATTCATGGATCTTATCACTGAACCATGGGGAGCTCAAAAAGCAAGAAAAAAATACTGTGAGGAAGGACCCACAAAAGGAAAATCTCTTTTTTTTTCTGGAGAAAACTTGATGTGTATTAACTTGCTTGAATTGTGTGGTTTAATTTTTTGATTAAAATTAGTAGCAAAGTAGATTGGGTTTTGGTTCTTGTTCTAGTATTGCTTCACAGGGGACTACAGTCATGTATTATATGACGTAATACTTCAGATGTTTCACTTGATTCTTGTGTTTGTGTGTGTGTTCAGATGCAGTGGTCTGTAGAGAAGTGCAATTAAACTGTAACAGAAGGAAAGTCCATTATGCTGCCCAGGAAGCAGACATCTGTAGGCAGTCTGCTAACTCTGCTTGCTTCAGGGCGGAGTTTGCAGTGCAGTGCTTGGACATATCTTCAACAGAACTCCTTTCTGTGTGACGACTAACTCCCGCCTTACTGCCTTAAAGTACCTCCAGGACATCTGTCCCTTCTGCAGCACTGAGGCATATCAAACAGGTATTCCTACATCGTGCTGTCACCCAGCTGATAGACAGGCTTCTCCTTCAACTGCGGTTTTCCTGCTTAGGCATCGCATTGAGAACTAGGCACCCATTTTCCTTTTAGCACCCTAATACCTGTAGCCCTAGAATGTTACTATCTTGAATGTGAAGTAATTGCACAGTATATTTTCAAACGTCACCAATGAGATATCTACTGTTTCTTCCATTGCTTGGAAGATTTGCCTGGGGGGTTGCTGTATTGTCCCCTGCGTTGCTGCCACATGCGTTCTGTAAGTGGTGGTGTTACTTCCAGTCATGCAAGCACGGCCCTGCAGTAGCAGACCAAGCTAAACTCAGAGTTTAGTTTGTTGGGCAATTTGCTGGTATCTGGTCACAGCAGCTGGAATTTTTTTCCACCAGAGATATCTCTCTTGTCCCAAAAGAAATCCCAACTATGTATCCCTCTTTAGAGCTGTTACCTGTGTCAGCTATTGCTGTGAGTACTGCTCTTACAGCTGCACACATTCTTCCTGTTGACAGCTAAAATACTGTTACTTTAGTGTGTGCTTTTCTGAATTTTCTGAACACAGTTCCACATTCTTTGAAATTCCCAGGCATAAGAACATCTGGAGCTGCCAGAAAGTATTTTTCTGGCTGCTTCAAGGGACTTGGCATGGCTGAAACGTAGCAAATACAGAAGCCTTTGTCATGCTGTCACAGTCACTTTCTGAGATGAGTGTACATCACATTACTGGGAGCAGCTGACTTTTTTTTTTTTTTTACCAATTCTGGCCTGAGCACAGTATCACTTTTTTTCTGTCCTAATTTCTGTTTAAAAAACATAATTAATTTACATTACTTTTGAAAGCTGATCAACATGTTGAATAATATTTGTCTGGGATGGTTTGGGGCTGCTTGGAAAACTGATCTGCTGCTATGAAAACACCCGCTCGTCTTACACAACTCTTTCAGAGTGATCCTTCCAGATCTTACAAACTGTACCCACCTGATGGGCTGGATGCTAGTCACAGAATGTCATAGGCCTAACAACGTACCAAATAGTCTGTTCTAGGACAGGAATCTTCCTCTTAAGCAGCCTCTGTTCAGCCTCCTCTTCTCTGGGCTGAACAAACCCAGGGACCTGAGCCACATACCTTGCCCTCTAGACCTTTCCGTCTTTGTTGTCTTCAATCTCATATGACATGACAGTGGCATGAGGTTATGTTTTTGGAGCTACTAATTGAGTTTTACAAGCTTGTTTGGGGGTTTTTGTTTACAGAACTGTTGAAGTAGTAACACTGTTTGTGCTTACTGCCCTTGTGTAAGGAGGAATATTACTGTGAGGTGGATGCAGTCAGAGCAGCAGAACAAAAGCAAGTTGTGATTTGTCTTGCCTAGGTTTCAGTAAGACCTAAGCAGTATTGTGAGTATTAGAGAAGGGGGAAGCAGGACTGGAAACAAGCAGCATACAAAACCCATCCCTGTTCAGAACCAGCTGGGGAAGGCAGTGGTAGAATCTCTCATGCAGCCCTGTGCATGCAGCCCTGTGATTGACCAAGCGCTCGGGTACTGCAGCAACAGTGCATGGAGCCTTGGGGCTGCAGGAGCTCACGGCTCTCCCTAAGGAGAAAGGTGTGTCCTTATGTCGCGTTAGAGTCAGGAATCACACAGAAGAATTGACACATTATGGGTTGTTTTGTTGTAGTGTGAATCCGGAAACAGCACTGGAGTGTCAGTGCAGTTTGAATACGCAGTAGCTAAGTGAGCCTTAGTTTTGGAAGAGCCAGTCTTCATCTGGTAACGGGCATATTTGACTCAGAGTCTGAGCTGTGCCTAATCCTCAACATAGGGCTGCTCCCACTAGCTGCTGTTTCACCACTTCTCTCGCACAGAAAGTACAGGTCGTGCAGTTGTGTGGTCGTTACCACCTGCTGAGCCACTGAAAGACTGACAGATTTTGTTTCCTTTTCTAGTTTCCCTCCCAGTGGAAATCAGTAATCTCAAATTCAACTCTTGGCTGCGTGACTGCTACATCAGATGCACTGGAAGGGTGAGCATGGGATCTCATCATCTAGCAGTAGCCTGCAGTCAGAACAGATGGAGCACAGCACGAAGCTGCACTCCGGTAGTTAGGGACATCTGGGAAGTAACCAGAAAAGCATGGCCTTTGGTTTTCCCTCTTTTGCTACAGTTCTTAATCCTTTTGCATTTGTTTTAGTATATAAAATGTGTCAGCTAACGGAGCATTCTCTCTATAATCCCACTGGTTGTCAAAGGAGTGCCTCAAATTGTTCTGTCTTGGCAGCCCCATGAAGTGGCAAATGCTTTGTTTTCTTGGAAATAATTTGCCTGAGGTTAAATACAAATAAAATGAAACAAATGAAAGCTCCCAGGTGGCTGTCAAATGGGCAAATGAGGAACATCACTCCAGTGCTTTCTGCTGAGCTTTTATTGATGATTTTTATAAATCACTGGAGTGATAACTGGAGCCCAGGCTTCCTTGGTTATTGGTTATGGTCTGTGTTATTTATCACAGAGGCTTTGCAGTTTTAAGCAGTGCACTGTGCTTTGTTTTTTCTCTTTACAGAAAGTCAGTTGTCGTTATCCCAGTGTTCCAGTTCTTGTGGTTGCATGTGTCCCAACATCTGCAGCTGGTGTTGGACCTGTTGGTCTTTTGGGAGTACCCCTCACAGCCCTCTGCCTTGTTTCCCCACGGCACAGTAATACAGAGGTTGTGGCATGTAGAAAGAGCAGGGACAACATCCAGTGGCTGCACTATGAAATAATGAGTGTTATTCCACAGAAATGCAACCTCTTCCTAAAAATGTCAATCAGTGCTGTCTGTATTACCTGTCAGCGGGACCCACTGTGCTGCTGTTGTGCTAATGGCCACTCCTACAAGGGGGCAGCTGATGAAGTCCACCTATTGCATTGGCCTCGTCTAATGCAAATTGGAGGGGTTAAAAAATGGCACAACTGTGCATACATGAGAATACAGCTTCTGGGAGATGCTGTGCTACATGGGCATTTCTGCTGGGAGGCCAGGCAAAAGCTACTTGTATTGCAGAATGCCTGACAGGAAGGTGTTCATGGTTTGTGGACACTTTGTGTCTAGAGCCCAGCAGTTATGCTCTGTTACAATTGCTTATGCAGCTGCTGGAAACCAAGGTAGGCTTTGCTGCACGGGCTCACCTTTCATCTCCCCAAGCTGCAGGCTCCCACACCCTGGTGTGTCACTGCACTTTACTGCTGGGCTGCATGGATCATACTCGTGCCTGCCCTGTGCAGGGCAGGAGTGCCCTCGGAGGTGTTTTGCAAGGTGACATTATTCAGACACCCTGTGTTGACCCAAACCACTGCTCACCTGCAAAGGCACTGCCTGGGATGAGGCCAGAGAAAGGAAAGGGCTGCATGGGAGGGGAGCACTGACGTCTCCTGTCAGCAGTCTGAGTGCGTTGTGAAATCCTGCCCGTGCTCACAGTGCTGAGCTGGCTGTCTGCACGGCTGCAGTGGTGAGCTCTCCTGTGGCCACTGCTCTGTGAGCATTTCTAGGGCAGCAGAGGCAGTTCCACCCATACTCCTCTTGAAACCACTTGCTGAGAGTGCTTATTTTTTCCATCTGCATCACGACCATTCCTTTTGACCAGAGCTGTAAAGCAAAACTTAAGTTTGCTGATGGAGCAAGGAACTGCTCTGATGCAACTGAGTTTATTGACAAAGCGTGTGGCTTGTCCTCACCTCTTAAACAGGGAGAGGATTAACCCAGACATCATCACCTTCAGCAGAGATGCAGCCAGCCTTCCCCAAAGCTCTACATAAAAACTTTGCTAAGCATCAAGACATTATCAGAGGCACACGCTGCCCTGGTGCGGGAGCAGGACCTGCCAGAGGGGTGATGAAATGAGAGGAGGACTGTGGAAATAACCTCTAGTGGAGGCCTGAGCGTGGCAGAGAGGAATTAGGCAAAATGAGGTTGGAGCAGTAGGAGGGATGTGCTGAAGGACACAGGAAGCCTCAGTTGCAGGAGCAGAGTGGTTGAGTTACTGAGTGTAGAAAAGAGAAAATAAGGGCCCAGTTTTCTGGGTCTTGTAGCTGGAACCATTCCATCCTGCTGCATCCCCACGCAGGGTGGAGTTCCTGGAGTTACACTGCTGAAGAAATAACGAGAGCTTTGGAGGAGCGGTTGCTGGTGGCAGTGCGGCTGTGGGATGGAGAGCTGCGTCTCAGTGCTGCGGCAGGGCTTGGGGCATCGAGAGGTAGTGAGCGCCCGCCTCACTCACTGCCTTGAGGGACAAACACTCATTAGATCTCCAAATACAAAACAGCCCTGCTAATGGACAGAGCTGTGTGTAGCATTCGCTTCTTGAGCGTTTGGGATTGCTCATTGCTGCTGAGTTTTGAGACTGTGTTGTATGTGCTGTGCATCACTTGTCTCTGGGTGACTGATTTCCTTCCTCAGCACTTGAGATAGATAGTCTTGAAGGAGCTCATTGCTCATGGGATGCTCGTTACCAGCGCAGTCAGCTTTCACTTACACCTCTTTCAACACATGACAGTTGTCACTGCTGTCTAACTTAAAACTGACTGCTATTGGGCTCGACCACAAAGTGGATTCTTGACTTAGGGAACATGCACTGCTCGGACTCCTCAAACATCTTTTCTAATTAAAATGGTGCAGAAAGTGGAGGAACGCGGCAACAACCCAGTGGCCTTACGTGTCAGCACAGGAAGGAAAACCGCTACAGCATGGATATGTGGAGCTGCCTTTGCTGGGAACCCTGCGCCTGCAACGCTGAAGCACGGAGTTCACCGTCACATGATTTCCACGCGAACGAAAACTTCAGCTGAGCTCCTTGCCGCTGCCTCCGGCCAAACGACGAGAGATTCGCCCTCCGACGCTCCGCCGCTTCGCCCACGAAGTACCGCCGCAGAGCCGAGGCAGTGCGCGGCTCCAGCTCTCCCCCTGCAGGGACAGCACGGCACAGCTTTGCCACGGGCACGGCGCAGCCTGCGCCCTCCGCGCAGCGCTGACCCGCGGGGTGGTTGAGGAGCAGCTGCTCACCGCGCAGCCTCACCGACAGCTTTTGGCTGTGCCCCCACACCCAAGGGCTGCTGCAATCCAAGAAAACGGCACTCTGCACGTCACAGTTATTCAAGAAAAGTTGTATCAGTCAGTGCAGAGCCTAATACTGTATCTATTGATTAGGCAAGGGGATTAGCTAAGGGGGAGAGGTAACAGCATTCACCTTCCTAAAATGCACCGAGGAAAACTTACTTGGTCAGCAAATATAACTTCCTCAGGAACTATACTTCCAGCAGCAAAAAGCTCTGCACGCTGCACAGCCCGTCTGAACCCACAGGCTCTCTCTTACTCTGTAGCCACTCCTACCTTCAGACACAGCAGGTACCCACAGCAGGGCACACAAAGCAAACCACCCCTGTACAGAAAGGTCGTTTTTGCACCATTAAGTAAGGTGGCCTTCCTTTCATCTTTTTGTCTCTTTCTGTGTTTTATAACGCCTATGATACACATCCACCACTTCAGTAACATACAGTATAAACAAAGCAGCTGTTTTGGTGTGGGGTTTTTTGGTGTTTGGTTTTTTTTTTTGAATGGGCAGTGAATGCCCTCCAAATATTTTAACTTCTGCTTAAAAGCCAACTTCTGAATTTGTCTGCTTAAAATAGGCTTAAAAAAATCACACACACAATCAGATTCAAAAGATTAATAACAGCCATCTTTATTCCACACAAGACAGAACTACAGAACACCTGTAGTCATTCTGGTCGCATTCTATGGAAACCTGAAACACGAGATACACCAACCTACTCTGCAAACTATGAACCAATCAAGGACAGAGCGATGGCACTGCTAAAGATTAAATGTTCCTTCTAAACAAACTAAAAGGTTTAAAATGTGACTTACATCCTTGATGTTTAGCTTTGTCTTCAGGTGTTCTTACTTTGCAATAAAGGCAATAAAAAAAGCCTGCTTTAGAACAGCAAGGAGGAATAAGCAGAAAATAGAATCATACAAAGCAGCAATAGCTCAGTACGGCCTCATGCGGCTGGAAGGTGGCGGTGCGCGGTTGGGAGGCGTGATGGCTATATCCAGGTAGTCTCCTATCTGGAATTTCTGGGACTGCAATGTCATGGAATCATCTGTGCCCTTCCTGCCCGACATGGTACTGCCGATCTCCTTCACCCTGTGCACAGAGATGAAAGGCAGTTAGTTACCAGAGCCCAGGCCTTGCACGTCTAACGCAGGAGCAGCACCAGCCTTTCTAACCTCGCCATGCCGTGCTCCACACCGTACCTCACTACATCCACAGCGTTTTCTTCTGCACCAAGTAAAGCTACACTGAGTCCCTCTGACAGGGCGCAGGAGTGGGGACCCTTCAGCCATCTTAACACGAGACAGAACCCCCTGCCCCCTCACACAGAGCTGAAACCCCACAGACTGCACAGCAGTCTCAGATCACCAGAAGTGAAGCTCCACCTCGCACTGGGCCCACGGTTAGCTAGTGGCCAATTCAGCGCTCCAGGTGGCTAAGCAAACACATTCACTGTTTAGGGAACACAAACTACAGCAGTGACCAGTCAAAAAGCAGAGTTCATAATGACAATCCTGCAGTCTGTTATCATGAAATTCAGAAATATTATTTGTGAACGCCTGACTTTAAAATCAGTATTGTATTTTACTGCTGTGCTTCCTCAAGCCGCCTGTTGTTCCGGAGAAGAAATGCCCTTTACCTGTAGCCCGGTCGCTTGAGATCTGTAAAAACAATTGCAAAATTGAAGTGCGTGCCCTTCTTCCGTGCTTCTGGGTACACCTCCTTCACCAAGCTGGTGAGCTCCTTCAGAGTTGCGTCCATCCTACGTTAAACAAACAAACAAACAAACCCAAGTGGTTCACCTTCTCAAAGCAGCAATCAAAAAAGCTTTCCAGTGCCCATTTAGGATGGAACTGGTATTTTGCAACAGCTTAAACATACATTTCCTTGCCTTTGCATGCTTCCTGTTAATACATGAAGAAGAGTAACACTTCACATATTTCAGCTATACAGGGAGCCACTTACTTCACAACAGTGTGGCACTCCAAACAACCAGTACGGATCAACGTTGCTCTTCCAGGTCTCTCAAAAAAGTGACCTTTTTTGCATTTTTTTAATACATTTACAATGAATGTGTTTCCTTATTCAAGTTGGTATTAATGTTAAAATGGTTTCTTAGAGGAAGCATAGAAATCAAAGCAAAACAAATAATCACGAGCAGTTTTCCACCAGTACTTCCACTTCTGCCCTAACAGATGGCACTCCTCCTTCTCTGCACCCTTCAACCAGAACAGGGCCAAAAATAACTTCAGAACTCTACAAACAAAAGGAGCACAGCCGCTCAAGCAGCTCTGAGGACTGCAGGCTCCCTGTGAGCTCTGTGCCACGGCTGGCTGACTGCTCACCCTGACTGCTCTGCGGATGGCTTAGACATCATCAACGGCCTGCACTGAGTTCATAAACCCCCTGCAGAAATACATCAGAACTGTGTGCTCTGTTAGGGACAACAGTGGATTTATTCAAACACACAGTGACACACGTGTCACAGCTCTAGCAGAAACCCCGGAGGAAAGACAGTGCTTATAAAGCAACGCAATTCAACAAAGCAATGCTCTTCAAAACGCTGTGAGGGGAATTCATGCATTTACAGTGCAGACGAAAGGATTTCTCCCTGCTCGCAGCAAACGCGCCACGAGCAGCGCTGCAGCCCTTCCACCCGCACGCATGGAAAGAAAAGCCGTTTCTCTTTCTGACCCGGACCAACGCACACGTGCTGCAGCGTCCCATCCTCCCGGGACAGCTGCTTCTGCGGGAGGACGGCGCCCCACGTTAATGAGATTGACGGCAACGACGAAGGAGATGGCAGAGTGCAATCCCACCACGCGCAGCCCCGGCCCAGCTCACCAGGTGTAGATCTGCAGCTCGCTGGAGGGCACGTTGCCGCGGGAGAACTCGTCCATGCGGTGGTGCCGCCCGTTGTTGGTGGTGAAGACGCGGAGCAGCAGCGGACACGTCTGCGGGCGGGAAGAGGCGGCGTGAGGCACAAGGCGCGCAACCCCCGCAAGGCCTCACGGCGCCAACCCCGCCATGCTGCCCCCCCCCCTTCCCGGCAGCCCCGCAAACGGCTGCGGCGGCGGCACGGGCGCGGCGGGCCGGCGTAGCCCCGGCACCTTCTCCCGGTCGATCGGCTTCTCCGGTTCCTTCTTGATCTCCTCCTGCGTGACCCGCGACTCCACCGCCATCTCGTCCCGCAACCGACGGCCCGGATGTCTCGCGGCGCGCGCGCGGTTCTCGCGATAGTGGAGCGAAGGCGGTGGTGCGCGCGGGAGAGGCACGAAGGTGGCCGAGGGGGCGAGCGGTGCGTGGCCGCTGAGAGAGATGGTGACTGGAGCTGCGCCGCGCTGCCGGGCGGTTGTAACGCAGCGCTCCGCGGTGGCTGTTAGGCCGGCTGTTAGCGGCTCGTGCCGGCACCGCTAATGCTGGGTGGGTAGAGCCCTCCTCCCAGTAACCTGTACGGATCTGAGGTGGTCTTGGACCGGCGGAGGAGAGCTTCGGGTCAGATGTGAGCGGGAAGGGCTTCGCTCAGAGGGCGGTGAGGACTGGCACGGCTGGCCGGGGAGCCGGGGGTGCCCCAACCTGCAGGCACCCACAGGCTGGGGGGCCCTGGGCAGCCTGACGTGGTGGCTCTGGGACCGGGTGGGCTCTGAGCTCCTTCCAGCCCGAACCGTGACGTGATCCGAAGGAAATACTGCGCTCCTCCTGGGCTCGGGGTGACGTGCTGTGCGCGGGCTTCTTGCAGGGCTCAGCGCCGGGCACACGCATTCTGTAAGCTGTTGCCCATGGTTTCTGTTGCGTGGAAAAGCTTTTAGTGAGCTACTGATGCTCCTTGGAGAAAGCTTCCTTCTATATGGAGAAAAACAGCTGCCTATTGTAAATAAATGAAATAATCAGCCAGCGCAGCTACTGGTGGGTTCAAATAAATTAGAAAGGGGTAAATTGCACTTAGAATTTCCCTTAATATTACGTATTGGAAAGACCAACCATGTATGCTTTCCATTTCTGGGCTTGGCTTTTCCAAGAATAGAGTCTTGTATTAGGTTAAATTTAAGTTTGATGTTTTGTCTCAGGCTAGTGTTGGAGATGTGTGTTTCTGATGTGATAACTTAAAAAAAAAAGTGAGTTATTGTATCAAAATTGGGGAATGTTCATTTGTTTCCAGAGAATTTACACTCAAATTATTTCATAAAGTGTCATGAATTTTTTATTTCAAGAGAAAAACAAAAATTCTGTAAAATGACGTGAAAACAATCACAGAATTGTTTGAGTTGGAAGGGACCCTTAAAGGCCACCTACTACAACTCCTTGCAATGAACAGGGACACCTGCAGCTCCATCAGGTGCTCAGAGCCCCGTCCAGCCTGACCTTAAGTGTCTCCAGGGATGGGGCATCCACCACCTCTCTGGGCAACCTGTGCCAGCGCCTCGCCACCCTTATTGTAAAAAACACCTTTATGGTCAATCTGAATCTTCCCTGTATGGATTCACAAATGTTCACAGATGCAGGATGAACAAATATCAGAATTACTGAGGTCAGAAGGGAACTCTGCAGGAGAATGCTCCAAATTCAGCTCAGAGCAAGAGCCTGTTGCTTTTGGTGTTCAGTTCAGTTTGGAAGGTCTCCAAAGCCTGTGCTGGTGATCAGCCACCCTCCCTGTATAAACGTATATCTTTTAATTATTATTGTTTCTGCTATCTCAGTCTGTGTTCAGTGTTCAGTTCCGTTGCATCTCCTCCTGTCACTGGTCACCACTGGGAAGTCTGGCTGTGTCTTCACTCTGTCTCATCACGGTGATGCTTACACGCAGTGTTGAGGTCCCCAGGACCTCAGGGAGTCTCTCTCAGAGCTGAGCTGTCCCAGATCTCAGACTGACCTCACGCGGCAGTGTTTCCGAACACTGTAGGTAGATGACATCAGTGAATTATTTATTAAAAGAATATGTAGGAGAGGAAAAGGAAAATAAGTATTTCTTGTATTCATCAGTCCAAATCTTAAAAATATAAATAAATAAATAAAAACCAGTTCACCTCTAATATAACCAACAGCAATTGATTTATGGCACTCCTAATACAGGGCAAGAGCACCAACAGCCTCTTGGAGTGCACCCTCAGCTTTCATTAACTTTCTTCTGTGGTAGCCTGGACAGTATTGTGCAGTTTTTGGTCTGTATTAAGTTATAACATGTCATCATTTTATTATCAAAGGGAATGACTCAGCCTTGCCACCATTCGTAGGATTTGATTTCCCAGGCAACGATGCAGTTTATTACAGTGCTAAAATTAATTATATCTGCCCTCTTAATATATGCTTGGGGCTCAATATCTGGACGGCCATTTTCAAAACAAAGGGATTTATGTCTTGCATCAGGTATCATAAAAAAACAGCTGTAACAAATAAAGCACAGCTCTGTTATGAGTCTAAGTAGTTCCTTCTGTTAGAAGCTTTTGAATGCTTGATTTATGTGAAAAATGACCTAATATGCTCGCATTTAAGAGAATTCTAGCATGGCAATTTATTATTTGTGGGCTGTATTAACAATCAAATTTCAGATTCATAAGCATTTGGAAGAGAAAGTTGGGAATGGAAATGCAGCGATGTGCTCTGTAGGCTGGTGTGCAGAATGCAGGCTGTGCTGGAGATGGCACAGCGCTGAGTGAAGGGCTCCCACCAGGTGAGGCCAAGGTCCCACACGTTATTGGCTTAGTCTGGCAGCTCCCTGCTGCCTGTCCTTACCCTCACTCACGGGACTTCTTTTCTCCTCCTTTCTGCCAGGCGTGTCCCTTATTGGATGCTTCCAAAAACAAGTGAAATTCCCTAGTTGAGGAGAAAGCTATCCGGCTGGGAGCTGGTTTTATGTCACTGTATTGCATTTGGCATGCTCTGAGCAGATCCTGTGGCTGTAGACCTGGAGCAAGGTGAGAGGTGGAAGTGCGTGCCCAGGTGTGGTGGGGAGAGGGAGGAATGCAGCAGAGTCTGACCCCACTGCTGGCAGCGAGGTGGTCAATTGCTTCACCTGCTCTTTGCCTTTTCTTAGATTTTGAGTGTTGAGAAATGTCTTGCTTCTCTGGGATGCTGTGTTCTCTGTGTGCCCCCCCTGTACGCACTGAAAGAAAATGAAAGCTTTTAGCTGAGGTTGTGAGCTGGAGTGAGACGCTATATGTGAGTGAGTCTCTGGCCTTTGTTGCTGGAAAGAGATAGCCAAATTCTGAATCAAACATTTCCAGAGATGAATGTCTTGAGAACTGAAACAGGTGATTTCAGAAGTGTGAATTTCTGCCTTAAGAATTGTTAGCACACATTCCCACTGAAGTGGTTCTGTAAATAGTGAACTTTAGTTGCTTACTGGGACATTTCAGAAAGGTGTGAATGAGATCAAGCGTTGGTGCCTCTGGAGTACAGGACTGGGCAAACCTGCTGCAGCCATGCAGGGAAGAGCACTGCCAGTCCTGGTCAATGAAACAATTACTGTGTGTAAGTTGTGATTGAAAGGGGAAAACAAAAGAAGCCAGCCGATGTTGTGTTACTTAAAACTTTGTAGGCACAAAAGAGAAGATGAAAATTAATGGAAAGAGAAAAATACAGAAATGAGTGGCACAGATGGGCCTGGAAAATCAGTGGAAAAGGTAAACCTCACAGCTACTATGAAAGCTGTAACAGATGACCAGAACAAGGAACACTGAGCTTTTTGGACCTGCATTTCAGTTCAGAGGAGCTGCCTTAGCCACAACTATCGCAGCACATTATGCTCAGATTCGCAAGGCTCCCATGGCTTGCAGGCTGCATTTGTGAGTTCTTGCTAACCACAATTATGTGTTAGTCCTTAATTAGCATGGTTGTGCATGTGTCCAGAAAAGCATGTTTGATGGTCCTGACAAGAGGACTTGGTCTTTGTCTTAACTGTGGAAAGCTCAATTAGCATGTTTTGGCAAGAGCATAAACATCTTCTGAATATCTCTGCAGTCAGCTTGGAAAGCAGAAACTCAAATTTGATGGAGTTGCTACTGCAGACAGGCTTTACCTGCTGGTAGAAGAACAACATTGCAACAACATTGTTTTCTTTGCAAATGTGATTGCTGGTATTTCCTGTGTTTTGTGCTTTGGTAGCATCCTTCCAGTACCTGAAAGGGGCCAACAGGAAAGCCGGGGTGGGATTTTTTATAAAGGCATGTAGCAACAGGATGAAAGGAAATGGCTTTAAACTGGGTAGGGTAGATTTAGACTAGAAGGTAGGAAGAATGTCTTTACTGTGAGGGTGCTGAGACACTGGGATGGGTTGCCCAGCGAGGCTGTGGATGCCCCCTCCCTGTAGGCATTCAAGGCCAGGCTGGATGGGGCTGTGAGCAACCTGGTCTAGAGGGAGGTGTCCCAGCCTATAGCAGGGGGTTGGAACAAAATGATCTTAAAGGTTCCTTCCAACGCAAACCATTCTGATTCATATGATTCGTATGATTCATCACAGGTACACTTTATATTCAGAATGCTCTATGTAGATTAGATTTCATTACAGTCTTAATTTCCTGCATTCTGTACCAAAGTCAATCTAGATTTCAAACAACCTTTAGAACAGTTTTCATTAAAGCTTCTCTTGATTAAGGTGTTCGCTGTCCTGTTTTGTACTGGGATGATTTGGGATCATAAAACACTCCATAACTGTTGGGATTTGTGGTCCCGTTCAACTCTCATGTACTGTGGGGAGGGGAGTGAGTCAGCATGGGCTCACAGCAAAGCCCTGTGCGGATGGTACCACAGCTGGGCAGCTCAGTGCTTGAGTGCATTCAGGTCGTGGATCAGGTGCAGCTGTTTCACACCCCAAAGGGAAGGAAAGCCAAGGAGTTGAGGGAGTTTGAAGCCGTGGTGCAATCTGCATTGGCCAAGAGTGCATAAATGCCGTCAGCCATGTAGTTGAGGAATGCTCCTGGATCCCCAGCACGTGCTAACTTCTTACATGAGAGCGTTTGTCAGTAATGCTGGTGTCATTGGGTGTAATTTGAATGGGAGTCTTCATTCAGCTTCAAGGTGAATACCTTCATGTGCATGTCCTTTTGTGATCTGGATCCATCACATCTAAAAAGTCAGACAAAGCTTTGTGATGAAGGTCAAGCTTCATGATTTCACCAGGTTACTGAAACACTGCTTTCTGTAAAATTTGGGTAAATTCACGGAATCACAGAATCACAGAATGGCCAGGGTTGGAAGGGACCTCAAGGATCATGAATCTCCAACCCCCTGCCACATGCAGGGCCACCAACCTCCCCATTTAATACTAGACCAGGCTGCCCAGGGCCCCATCCAACCTGGCTTTGAACACCTCCAGGGATGGGGCATCCACAACCTCTCTGGGCAGCCTGTTGCAGCACCTCACCACTCTCTGTAAAGAATTTCCCCCTGACATCCAACCTAAATCTTCCCTCCCTCAACTTAAAACCATTTCCCCTTGAAGTTGCTCCACAGAGAACAAAGCTGTGAGCAGCATGCACTTCCTGCAGAGCCAAGAGCAGCCATCTAAAGTCAACATGCAGCCATGAGTGGCTTTGGAATCTTCTATGGAAAAGGAGCCAGGTCGGTGCACGTGGCCTTAGCACACTGCAGAGAGATGGGTGCTGCATGCAGGCTGCCTCGTGCTGCTGCTGGAAGACCTGCTCAGAGCTGCTCATGATGCTGCAGACGGTACAGATCAGGTGCTTCCCAAAAGGGCTGCCTCAGGATGCCTTTTATTCCGTTTCAGAAGAAAACGTTTCCAAGAATAATATTAGGCAGATCAGAGTTATCACGTCTCTGTTATTTTGGTGTTGATTTTCAATTCCTGCGGATGTTTGTCTGAAAACCTGCAGCATTCACGTACTGCTGAGGAAGGAGCACAGTTTAGCAGAGCTGTTCCATGTCAGAAATGATCTCCTGAAGCAAACGTATGTGACTAAATACAAGCTTTTTAGAAATCTGTCATTCATCCATAGTCAGCAGAGGCGCAGTAACAGCAGGCAGCTGGGTTGTGCCCAGCACATCTTGATGCTTGTGGTGGGTTCCTCAGGGCGTGCATGGCGTTCGGTGCGCTCAGGGCACGGATCCCAGTGCAGGCAGCAGTGAGGGACATGGGAAGCACTTCAGGCCAACCCTGCGCAGAAATGTTTGCAGTGTGAGTCAGAAATACAGCATGTAGCACAAGAGGGGTCCAGCAAAAGTTGTAGTGCTGGTGTGAATCTCACCTGAAAGGAACAGAGCAAACTGGAACTTGTAACTGTCAGCAGAGGAAGACAGAATTTAGTTTCAAGTAATGAAAATGTAAGTTGTGTTCTCTCACGTAGAGTTATTTTCTTCTCCATGCAGCTGTACGCTAAGGTGTGATGGTGGGATGCTCTAAATGTTCTATTGCTTTTTCCTGGTGGGGTAGTAGAGTCTGTTACAAAATATAAAATTAGGGAAGAAATGTTGCCAGAATCTCAACCTGGATTTCATTAAGAGGTGTTGTCATTTCACTATAAAGTACATCTGTTACAATGTTCCAGAAAGTTTAGGCACACAATAGAGTAATAAACTGATTTTATAACTTGGGTAATACTCCACCATAGACTTGCTCCCCCCTGCTGTGTGCATTGTATTACCTCAGTACAGAAACGTTTGTGCACTGTAAGGAAAGTGGGTTGGTATTGCAGCCAGTGGAAATGTTTGGAATGGCGTATGAGATGCGTCTGGTAGAGAGGACGGGCAGCAGCAGGAGCGGGCTGCGCTGTGATTCACTGCAAGCACTTATCTGGGCAGCGCAGGCCCCTTCCTCTGAGCCCGGGTGGCTGCACGTCCCAGTGCCACTACTGGTAACAGCCGTGGGAAACCCTGTGTAAAGGTTTCTGGAAACACCGGTGCTGTCTGAGCAGGGCAACAGCACCAACCCCAGCTGCCCTGGGGTGAAGCCGGCACGTCCCCTCACAACACCGTAACCTGGTAGAGATGTACTTAATGTTGTCTTCCACATTTCCTGCGCAGACAAATCCCCTCCCTGGCTGTTTCCTGGATTAACAAAGTCCCGTCCTCAAACAAGACACAAAGAGGTCTGAGGAGATGAGCATCTACATGGCATTGACACGGTCCTGCTCATGTGTTCATGGGAATGTTTCAGTGAATAAGTATTAACAGGTGAGCTTAATGCTTGGTCCAGCTCTTCCCTCCTAAGCATCTGTTCTTCTCTCTTTCCGTGGAAGAACAGTAATGACAGCCATGCTTTTTCTTCTAAGCAGAGAGTTCCAGGCGATCTGAGTGTCTGAGCAGGTCCCTGGGTATGTTGCTCTTCAGCTCGCCGTACATCTCTTTGAGCTTCCAGCCTGTGGCGTGCACAGTTCCTACTGACAACAACAGAACAATAAAGATGAATCCCACGCACCAGAACTGACATTCCATTCTCTTTCCTGCCCCAGGATCAGGTCTTAGCACTGAGAAACTCCTGGGGTCTGCAGCATGTCACAGCAATTCTATACTGACAGCGTATCTGTTGGGACACACATCCTCTGTTGTCAGAACACAGCCACAGCAGCAGCCATGTTTTATTCAACTCTGTTCTGGGGCTCCCACAAGTGTGCAGGAAGTTTCTGAGAGCAGTGCCATATCCTTCATAGCTGAGGGTGATGTCGTGTGATCCGTTACATGTGTCCTGCTTCCAGAAATATCACAATGAAGAGTTGAGTGAAACTTTTCTCCAGATTAAGTAGTTCCATGTGGCAAGCCCTGCTGAGAGTAAAGAAAAGCTTCAGCACCCAGAGATCCGTCTGCATCTCAGAAATGCCTTTTGTGGCTCAGTGTGTAGGCCAGGAAACAACTCTGTCACCTTTTTTTTTGCTGCTTAATACCAGAATGTTCTGCTGCTATAAACTGTCTGCAACATTTTGAATAGTACAGCGTAAAACTGAATTCCTCTCTGAATGCTGCATTGCACATATTGCACTATCCACTTGATTTTTTTGTTTGTATGTTTCGAGAAAGGAAATATCCATCATGGGGAATTTAAAAAATGTGGAGTTTGAGCCCAGGATGAATTCTGACGGCTTGGTTACCATCAGCCCCTCAGAGCTGCAGCTTAGTGGAAACACTGACATAATCTCTACGATAGCGGTGTGAACAGTGCCAGTGGAACAGAGAGTCTCGGGGGCGTAGCGTGAGGCAGAATCACAGTGGTTCCCCACATCACCACTTCTTTGAAAATAAACCTGATGGAAAATTTGTGCACACCTGTTCCTTTGACTAAGAAGGGAGTCACCTCTTTGCACCAGTGGCTGTTGTTACTGGGTGTAGTACATTATCACACTGCGTTTTGCATGTGGCAAAAGGTGCTGGGGAGATTATCCCCTACAGGAAGTCAAAGGTGCCACACTGCGTCCAGGCTGCCAGGGGGAAGCCACTGCTTTGCTCTTCTTGTGTCCCCTACCACACGCTGCCATGACAGTCCCTGCCTGCCCTTGGCTGAGCCAGTGGTGACGAGCTCTGCACAGAGGTTCCAGTCACATGGCTTAGCGCTGTCTGCGTATTTCGTTTGTTTCTGATGATCTTGCTGATCTTGCCTGCAATGGGGAAATAAGGGTTCATGTGCACAGCTCCGCAGGCATGGCAGCAGGGCAGAGGGAACAGTGCTAAAGGGCGGCTCTGGGCTGCAGCTGGAGCCAGAAAGTGACATCTGTCCAGAGCTGCCTTCTGACAGCGAGCGGCACAACGTGACGTTCTGTGTGACAGACTGGGGCAGTTCCCACTGCGGTGTGCAGTGCTCCATTTGTTTTCACAAAATGCCTGTGAAAGAACAACGTTCCCCCCAAAAAAGTGCCTCACTGAATTGTTGGGGGAAATTCTTGCAAATGAAGAAAAGAGAAGTAAAGAAAGCAGCTATTTGAAAAGACATGGATTACTAAAAAAGACGTGAGCTTGACAGTACTTTGCAGTCAGCTTTATGCTTTGTTGTTCCTATTACAAAGCTAAGAATGATTCAAATCCATTTATATAAAACTTTACGGCATAGAAGGGCAAGAAAATGGCTCTTCTACACCTCTCAGATTAGATTTGTGCAATGAGATGCTGGAATATGCTCTGGTGTTTTGTTTGGGTGTGAGGAACGCAAAGACATAATAATTACCAGCCAATACACCAATTTAATGCTGTGTTCAGAATATTTGACCCTTAAAATAGAGGCATCAGAATTTTTAACAAAATAAAAAATAGAGAAGAGTTGCCATATATGAAAGAAGGTGAAATTCTTAAAGACAAGGATTGTGAAAGTTCTCCTGCTAACACTGAGCAATTAGCTAAGCGTGGTGTTTTGAAAATATAGAAATGAAATACTAAGAACACAGGGCACAGTTATTGCTAAAGTCTTACATTCCAATTCTAGTGTATGAGGCGGGTGCCAAATGCTGTTAAAGTGCAGCAGCTCTGCTGCTGATTGCTTGTTTCTGACTTGGGTCTGTCTTCATGCGGAGCAGTGTGGAGCTGCTGGCTCTGAAGTTGGGAATTTTGCTGGGCTCAGCTATAGAAAGCCGCCAAGAACGGGCCATGCACCTGCTTCTGGGGGTGCTGAAGTTTATCCTTCTGTTCTCCATGGGCTGTGAGTCGTACAGCTCCCTCCTCCACACACGCACAGGATGCTGACAGCTGAGCTGTGGGAGATTTCTTTTCTTCAAGCAGTGCAAACAAGTCCTTGTTCCTTGCTGGGACTGCAATCCCATGATCCCAGTCATTGATTCATAGGGTCACATAATCGTTTGGGTTGGAAGAAACATTTAGCGGTCATGTAGTCCAACTTCCCTGCAACAAACAGCTCAGTCAGGTGCTCAGAGCCCCATCCTTGGGTATCTCCAAGAACAGGACAGCCACTGCATCCCTGGGCAACCTTTTCCAGTGCCTCACTGCCCTTATTGTAAAGAACTTCTTCCTTACATACAGTCTCAATCTCCCCTCTTTTAGTTTCAGACCATTTCCCTTTGTCCTATCCCAACACATCCTACTGAAGAGTCTGTCCCCTTCCTTCTTACAGCCCTTTTAGATGCCAAAAGGCCAATTCTTGGTCTCCCTGGAGTCTTCTCCTCTCCAGCCCCAGCTCTCAGCCTGTCCTCACAGGGAGGTGTTCCATCCTTTGGGTCATTGCTGTGGCCCTCCTCTGGATGTGCTCCGACAGCTCCATGTCTCTCCTGTACTGCTGACTCCACATCTGGACACAGAACTGCAGGTGAGGTCTCACAGCACAGAGCAGAGAGGCAGGATCACCCCGTCGCCCTGCTGGCCATGCTGCTTTGGGTGCAACCCAGGACACAGTTGGCTTTCTGGCAATGCTATTTCTTACTAATACCACAGATTTAAAGGAAGACTCCCAGAAAAGAAGAATCCTGCTTTCCTAGCTATTAAAAAAAATAAAAACCACCAAACATTTTTAATGTAAAGCCACCATTATTTACCGTCAAACAATAAGAAATCCCTGTGACCTCATAGGGAGGTATGTGCCAGTATCTGCTCAGCAGATGGAAACCTCTCTCTGGGGCACACAGCAGAGCAGGGTCCATGAACCGCAGCTGTGGGAGTTGACCTGGGAACCCGCTAAGCCAAAATGTGGTCCTGTCACACCAGCATGATTCTAGGGACAAAGTAGGATGGAAAACCACTCTTGCTGAGCAGATTATTCAGTTCCTCTGCTTTCCTCATTAAAGCAAATAGCACAATTTCCCCCCCTGAAATTATTTTTTCTTTTCCTGAAGGGCTAAAATATCCGTAACGCAAAGCGTGAAGCGTGGAATTTGGTCCTGCTGTGGGCAAGGTAACAATATGAAGGGTATGAGACAAGGTAAGTTTTCACTGTGCTGTACAAGTGCTCACAATTTGCATCTCATCGGCTTCAAGGCCTCTGCTGGTGATATTTCCTTCTTCTAAGAATAGAGCCTGAAAGTATTTTAAGAATTCTAGTTGTCGTGCAATTAATAGCGTAACACTTTGTTCTGAGTAACAAGATTCGCTTGTTTTGAGTGCTAACAGTATTTTGCATGTAAAATAAGAAAGGCAGTGGGGAACGTTTTATTGCCAGTGCTTTTCCTTACAGGAGGATGAATCACGTACATTCTTGGCAACCAAGCTCAAGTTCACAAGAATGCTCAGTTTGATCAACTTCCTTCAAAATACAAAGCTCAAAGTAAAGAGGAAAACAGAGAGAAAGGAACTTGGATGGGTTTCCATGCAGTAGACTTTACAAGATGGACATCCAAGCAGGAAAACAATAAATCTAGTGTGCAAATTGTTTTGCTCAAAGCAAATCACTGACTTGCTGTTAAAGGAAGGTTCAGACTAAATTAAGAAAATAATACTGGAAGGAAAAAAAAAAGAAAAAAAAAAAAAAAAAAAAGAGGAAAAGAGCCAGGGAAAAGAAAGAAAACCCTGCCAGTCTGGCAGACATGGTGGATGTGGATGTTGTGTCAAACGTTTCTTTATTTGCTAACAAAACAATGTGAGTTTTCAAGAAAAATTGCTAGCCTTCCCTTCAGAGTGGCAGATTGTGCTGAGAAATGAAATAGGAGAATGCAGTTAATTTAATTTAGGTGTGAGGAAACTGCCCGCTGTCAGGCTGTGGTTTCATGTGACTAAGGCTGGGGATGATGCGAGACTTTCTGGCAGTAGTGCAGGGTCGCAGGGTTCACCAAGCTGCCCCCAGTGGTCGGGGAGCCATGCTGGGGAGACGATGGCACTGGAAATGACAGAATCACAGAATATGCTGAGTTGGAAGGAACCCACACGGATCACTGAATCCAGACCCTTCCTCCACCCAGGAACACCTGAAATCCAAAACCAATGTCTAAGAGCACTGTCCCAAAGCTCCCTGAGCTGCAGCACTGGGGCCGTGCCCACAGCCCTGGGCAGCTGTTCCGTGCCCACCGCCCTCTGGCGCAGCCCCTTTCCACCCTCCCCTGACGCAGCTCCATGCCGTTCCCTGTCGCTGTCACACCTCCCTGTGAGGAGCTGCGGCCACCATCAGGCCTCCCCTCAGCCTGCTCCAAACGGTCTCTTCTGTTTCTATTCCAGAAGACTGGTTTCAGCTAGATGGGTTCCTTGTTTTGGTTCACTGGAGGGCTGCCCATGTCACTGTGTGACGTGCTCAAGTGGCAGCAGAGGCAGTAAGGGGATGGAGGGTGCTGGGGAATGACCACAGCTGTATGGGCATCCCCGCTGCTCTGCTGCCACCCCACCAGCACCACTCTGTGACTTTTGCCCCACCACTCACTTCAGCTCAGAATCAGCCAAAGGGCCACTTCAATGGCCAGCACAACTGCTTGTTGGCTAGAGTGTAAACAACCAGAGCAAAACACCGAATTATTATTTGGTGTCAAATTCCCAATTTTCCAGGTCAGGTCACCCTGCGGTTATGCAAAGAGCTGTGCCCCGCTATAAAAGTGTGACTGTGAGGACTGGTGGAAGACAAGGAGGTAAGTGCTGCTCCCCAAAATCACACATTCCTCCTGTGCATCTCGCTTGGTACCTCCTGATTTGCCCCCATTCCTCACTCCCATACTCTGCCCCCTCGTCATAGGGCAGCAGTACATCATTGTGCTCAAGATAACTGTGAGAATGTCAAACTAACACAGGGCTGCTGCCTTCCTGTGCAGAGCATCCCCTCAAACCTGTGTGTGCTCAGTGAGCCTGAATGGGGAGAAAAAAACAGCTGGAGAAGAAAGAGAAGGTTAAGGCCCAGAAGGGCCGAGCGAGGCTGTGAAGGACCATTGGAACTTGAAGCAGGGCCCCAATCCACGGTAATGTCAGTTTATAATAACCTGGGCATCACAGAATTGCTGCTGTTTGACTTCAGGTCATTGTCAGTGTATTGCCCGCTTCCGTCGTGCTCTGTAGTGCCCAAGCAGCAAGCCTGGGCTTCCTCTTTGATTCCGTAACTTGATATGCTGCTTACAACGCAGTGAATCCCATACTTTTGGGACACTGTGAATTTGCTGTGTATTCGCCGCACAACTGCATTCCTGCTTCCTGGTCAGGTTTCCGGCACACGAGTTGGACAATAGGTCAGCACAGGTCTTGGGGATGTGTCCAGGTTTTCCAAACATGCAGCCTTCCCATTCAAGCTACTGTATAATCTTCAGAAATCTATGCAAGAAATTTTATTCATGTCAGAAAAAGAAACCCCCTAGAAAACGTGAACACAGGGCAGCCTCGAGTGAGAGCCTCAAACACAGTGTGAAACATTTGCCAAGCTGCTGAGGAGAAATGCCATCAACTCTCAGCTCTGGAGTTTTTAAGACTGGACAAACATGTATCAGAGTGAAGAGGGACAGCCTAACCCAGATCCTTCCCAGCTTTACATTCCTGTGATTCTCTGCAAGGAAGGACTGGTATGACGCTGCCCTGGCATGAGGAACAGCAAGCACAGTCTGTTCTCTGCTCTGCAGCCTGTTCTGCACCAGACTCTTCCTGGGACCAGTGCAAAACCCAGGACAGACTCCATGCTCAGCCCAACAGGGCTGCACACTGCAAAAAGGGGATTTGTATGCAGTGAGACTGTGCATGCATGCATGAGGGAATTTGCAGAGGCAATGGTGCTCTCCCACCGTAATGCAGAGCGAGGCTGAAACATGATGAGGGTCTTTGTCTGGTGTTTTTTTGTTGCTGGGTTGTGGGGTTTTGTGTGTGGTTTTTTTTTTTTCTTTTTCAGGATTAAAATGGGCAGAACAAGAGTCAGTTGTTGTTTTGGGGAAGAGGAAAGCGGTTGCTGTCAAAACGTTTCACCGACTTGGCAAAATTGCCAAGCTGGCCCTGCCTGCAGCGCGCACCAACTTCAAAGGGTTGATCTTGAATAAGGATTAGCGGGAGCCAGATCGCTGCTTCCTACACGCATTCTGCTGAGGGTAAATGATATGCAAGCCAATACCCAAAGGGTGTGTTTTCCTTCTGAAGCCAGCCACGTCGCCGGCACCTCTGCCAGCAGGTTTGTGGCATCGATCTGGGTGTACTTCAGCGTGCGTACACCCAGAGGCAGCGCGGCTGTGACCCGGCCCCGGGAGCGGGCGGCTTGCAACCGCAGCGGGGCCGCAACAGAACAGCGGGGCAGGCCCCGCTCCAGCAGCGAGCCGGCCACTCGGGAGGGGCGTGTGGCTCTCGAACAGGATGCAGGCTGAATAACCCTCCATTCCTGAAGAGGGTGGTCCCCGAAGGTCAGGGCTGCCTTCAATGGGGTGGCGGTGTGAGAGGAAACTGCCTCAGAGGGTGCTTTCATAATGCTCGGACTGTGAATAAATTCAGCTTGTTGTACTCCGGGTTCCCAAGAGTTAGTCATCAAAAACGTGAATAGGAGAATAAGGTTAGGAAAAGAACAATTCTCCAGCTGAACTTCCATTCCGGGATGAATGGGGTCCCTCCCCCTTCCTCCTTTGACTCCAGACAAAGGGCTTTGTAGGCCGTGTAGGAATTCTCTTTGCTGCCTAGGAGGAATGCATGGCAGTAGGTGACACAAACAGCCACAGGCTGAAGTTGGACGGACCTCTGGAGATGATCCATCCCAAAGCCCTGCTCAGGCAGGGTCAGCTGCAGCGCATGGTCCAGCGTCTGCCCACTGGCCTTTGACCAGCTCCACACTGCAGCATCTCTGGGCCACGGTGCTCCGGCTCTGCGTGGACAGGCGGTGACCTGAGACGTGATGTCACTGTAGGCCACTCTGACACCTTCTGTCTTCCCAGTAAAAGAACAGAGTCAAAGCACAGTATCACACTACATGTGTGATACTGACTGGTTCTGGTGAGTCTGGGTATGAAGACGTGGGTCAAGGCTGATCCATGCTTTGCCCAGTTGCTTAATTATGAAAATAAGACAGATGAAGAGAATGTTGGGTGCTGCATGGCATTAACACACTGTGGCCCTTTAGGACCATCCTTGAATTAGGATAGAACTGACTGCTGCTCCAGCAAATGCTCCACTTAATGTAGTGGTAGGGGGCCCAGGGGCCTTTGAACTTGATGCAACAATAAACCCAGAGAAAATGATAGAGATATTTCATACTTCAAGACATAATGATTTTTCTGGGTGTATTTGTTTCTCAAGGTTCCAGAAGGTGAAGGGGCAGACAGGGTCATGCCTTCTAGTCTCATGTGTCCACATCAGCACTTTGCCCCGACCATCACTGTTACCAGGGTGTCTGTCACTCTTTGCGAGCAGATCTTATCTGAAATCTCCACTGAGGCACATATAGGCTCCAAGACTGTTGTATGTTGCTCAAGCTAAAGTCACTGAAACGTTTCAGTTAACGAACAAACACAGTCTGTTGCTTTCCTCTGTGTGACGCACAGAAATCTGTCTGCTTCCTCCCAGAGCACAGTACAGCATGTCTCAGCCATTGGCTACTATAACTATGAGGGGCTAAGCATTTATATGGCACTGTAACGGTGAACTGAGTGCTTTGCAAATTCAAAAACACTGATCTCATTCCCAAAGAATTCAGAGTCAAACATGGTCAAGAAAAAAATGGTGTGGTGAGCAGGAGTAGTGAAGTCATCCTTCCCCTGTACTCGGGAACTCATCCACTGGTGAGGCCTCACCTCGAGTGCTGTGTTCAGTTTTGGGCACCTCAGTACAGAAAGGACATGGAGGTGCTGGAGCAGGTCCAAAGAAGGGCAACAAGGCTTGTGAAGGGCTTGGAGAATATGGCCTATGAGGAGAGACTGAAGGAACTGGGGCTGTTCAGGCTGGGGAAAAGGAGGCTGAGGGTAAACCTTATTGCTTTCTCCCAGTATCTGAAAGGTGCTTACAGCGAGAGCAGGGCTGGTCTCTTCTCACTGGTGACAGGTGGCAGGATGAGGGGAAATGGCCTCAAGTTGTGCCAGGGGAGAGGTTTAGGTTGGATATCAGGAAGAACTTCTTCACAGAAAGGGTTGTGAAGCACTGGCATAGGCTGCCCAGGGAGGTGGTTGAGTCACCATCCCTGGATGTATTTAAAAACCGTTTGGATGTGGTGCTCAGGGACATGATTTAGCAGAGGGCTGTTAGTTAGGGTAGGATGGTCAGGTTGCAGTTGGACCTGATGATCTTTGAGGTCCTTTCCAACCTGAGCAGTTCTATGATTCTGTGATTCTATGATGATCTTTAGAAGTCAAGTAATCAACCAATGTCTAAGTTCTTCTCTCTTTAAAACTGATACTACTTCACTGTACACACACGCAGCTACCAAAATAAATGTAGGCTAAAAAAGAATGGCTGAGAGGAGCCCAGAGGTGTTGTGGCAAGAGAGCTCGGGAGGCTCTCAGGAAGCAAGGGAGGGGAATGGAGCAAAAAGAGGAAACTCCAGAGAGGAGGCAGGAAGCCAATGAAAGGATTAAGAAATGAGATGTGTCCTTAAAGTGTGGGGGAAAAGAAGGTAGATTAACCTTTAAGTTAGGTAAAGGGAGTACAAGAGAACCTGCAGTGTAACTAAGCAAATTGCAGCTGCTCAAGAAAGGAATGGGCAGAGCGCGTAGAAAGACTGTAGACCCGGTGATAAAAAAGCAAGGGCCACTTTGAGAAGATACTAAGACAGAAAAGAAAAGCTTTGGATTATACCTTGAATGAGAGCCTGGTTATAAGAAAGAAAACATTGCCCCAAAACTAGAGAAAGTGCTGAAAGCAGATTTAGTGAGAACTGTTCCTTTCACATCTGAAAAAAAAAAAAAAAAGTAGGTAATATGAGCAAGGACTTTGGGAGAAGAAACAATTAAAAACAACAGCAACAACAGCATGGCTATGAAACTGTCAGTCATGGACAAGACATAAAATCACTTCCTCACCAGAAACAGAGGCAGAAACTGGGAGGAGAGTGGCACCGTTAGTAGTGTGGTGTCTGAGGCGCCTCCAGACAGACACCCAGCGCAGCTGACCAGCACAGCTGTTCTATGTCCCCTCTCCTCTGTCAAGATGAACGTTTCCAGTAAATGGGCACAAAGAGGAGAACTGCACTGGCTGTGAAATGCAAAGTGGCCAAGGAAATTGTGACACACAAAAGCAGAGTTTGCTTGGGTTTCACAGCATTGTACAAGGCTTCTTAAAAAGCCATAACTTTAAATTTGCACATCTGTATTGCTATGTATTCAGGAGATATTTAAACAGACTCAGTGTGCACAGGAGCTCGTGACGTATCCTGAGCCTGCCCCACTGCTACAAACGCAGCAAGGGCTTGGCACTGCAGTGCGCTAGCACTTGGAGTTACATGCGATTGTATGAGAAGGGGAGAACAGATGAAAGAGAAATAAGACTGTTTTTATTAGGCTGAAGGGAGTGCAAAGAGCATGGGGAGTAACTGTAAATACCTGAATTCACAGCACCTGGAGCAAGACGCGGCTAGGGCACCAATATTTGTAGTCATGGTGACAGAGAAACAAGGGCCTCTGGAAGTATTTTTCAGCCCTGGTGAGATGGTGCTTGACAATTTGTTGCGACTGATGTGTCTCTATTCACTTTGATTTACAGGATAATAATACCACTATCTTTGGGATTCTGGTGCTCTAAGACTCACAGAAGACTCTACTTATTTAAAATGTTACAGCAACAGGCAACTTGTGATTCTCGTTATGAACAAATTCTGTATTTTAATTATTTGCAAATCACCTCTTACCTATCTTGCAGTTTTAGTGACTGGTGATGAATAAAACCACCCCTAACACTGAAAGGTCGTTGTTTTTTTTTAATTGTAGTCTTCAGAATTTATGAGCTCTTAACACAGTATGCAAATGTAATATAAAGCAGAGAGCAAAAGCAAATAGCACAGATTTGTACATGTGTGTAGGATTGCTGTGGATCTTTTTAGACAAACAAGTGTGTATTGGTAACAGCAGTGGCTGGTGTGGGAAGAAAGTTCAAAATGGCTGTAGGCTGAAAGACCGTGTGGAAGATCAGGAGACAAGCAGTGATATTTATAGTCATCTAACAGGGATACACCGCTGTCAAACACGCTTAGAGTGAATGTCTTTCAGTTTGGACACTGTTTTTGAGCCACATTACCCTCTGATCATATTCTAGTAGAGCATTATGGACTGTTGGAGGTTTTTCACATTCACAGGCTCCTATGCAGATGTCACTCAGAATTTCCCCAGAACATTTTAGGGGCTGTAGTCCTGGGCCCAGTTTTCATAAAACTTTACAGACAACAAGACTCAACACACAGTTTTATGTTTCTAATGCAAAGGTCAGACTATGGAGATAGTTGCCCCCACTCATCTGTCCTGGTTGTGATTATACTGATCTGTAGAGTTCAGGCCACGTCATTTTCTTCATGCAACTGACTGATCTCACAGAAAACAGTAAATACCTTCTCTCATTTTTCTGGCATCCTTCTGTGCTGATAAAGATGAGTAAACAAGTGCAAAGCACACAGGACCTCGGCTCCCAGAACACACAGAGGTGTGACTGTAGATTTTTCTCTGCTCAGTTTTTCTCTCTCTTCCAAGAAAATACACGAGGTTTGTTGGCAGGGATTTCATACGCTGCTTTCAGGTGCCTTGACAATCTGTCACTTTGCTTCCTTCCCACAGGCAATCCAAACAGGTGAGGCTGCCTCTGGAGCCCGTCTGGCTCTGAGCACCTGCCACTTTTGCTGGCAGATTTTGAGCAGGAGAGCTTATGGCACCATACGGCTGTGACAGGTACCCAGTACAAGGCCAGCTCAATTGGCACTACTGCATGAAAGGCAGTTTATTTAGGATAATGAAACACAGCACTGGGCTTACAGCATAACTGAAAATGACTGTGTGTTAAGGGAGTGTCAAAGGCTAGACTTCTGCAGATTGCCAAGGTCAAGACCTAGGATATCTTACAGATATCTCCTAGAGCTTTGTGTCCAGACAACAGCCTGGAGCCATGAGTCTGGACATCCTTTCTCATGCATGACCCTTCATGCGTGGCATCCCTTCATTACTTGTTTACTGACAGCATGACCCAATGGCTGCTCACAATCTGGGAGATGAGAATTGTGTTCCTGGCTTTGCCATTGAACGCTGCGTTCCTCGTGAACATTTGTGCAACCTGGCTGTGTTTCTCCTACAGTCTGCTCCATCCTTTTTATCTGTAGGGGTATCATCACTGCTCTAAAGAAGGTCTCTTGTTATGTATTTTTCAAGAGCAATTGGAGTTTTCAAGCGCACCATCAGTTCCTGCAAGATTAACTAATACTTGACCCATGCTTGGCTGCAATGTTCTTGCTCAGCGGCTGTTCCCCGTGTGCCGTTGCCTTGCATTAACATGGCCTTACTTAACTCGTGGCCATTTCTGGCACCTATTTCCCACAGTGCCATACAAAACCAGACTTCATAAAAACAGAGACACAAACAGTTTTTTTTAAAGAAGCTCATCACTTCTGTCTGTAGCTGACCTCTATACCAGTTTCCACCGTGGTCTATTTCAGTGTGTATGTTAAATCTCTCTTACAGTTTGACTTTCCTGTTTTATACTGGCTGTCCCTTATTCACTGTGCATTGCTGATGTCAATCTGCAGTCTGTCTAGTTCTCTTCCTCTGAACTATGTGTCTTCTTCTTATCCGCAGTTGTACTTCCATGCCCATCTGTACTATTATTTTAATTATCTTTGAATACACATTAATAGTAGTTCTGAACACATGTCAGTGCCCATTTTTTATCCCATCTCTTCCTTTACTCTGTTTTATGTTCAGTTTCCTCTCAGGATTTAATCAGTAGAAATTATATGCTATTATTATCTTTTCCTTCTGAGCAGATTTAGTCATAATAACAAGGCTTACAGGGAAAGAGCCAAGTCTTGTTGAAAGATCTGGTCCAAAGCTCATTAGCACGGTCAGTATTTTTCTGATAATCTTCCTACTATATTTTCCTGCTTCTATAGGCTCTGTCAGATCTGATAGCATCTTAGAAGAATGCTTTCCTCTTAGTCCCACATCTAGCCTAAAACGTGCAGTATGTTGGGAACCTAAAATGTGTTCAAAGGCTATCTGATCTGACACTTTCTTGCAGGATGTCCTTTTCTGAAGAATTGCTTTTCCTTCTATTGCTTCTGATAAGGCAGCCCATTAGAAGTTCTAACTTCTGACTCAATTCTACCATTTGGGTGGAAGGGGAGCCTTTATGTTTCTAAGTTGGGATGCTGGTAACATATCTAGTTTTATTTTCAAGGATACTGTTCTGACAGCCCTGTCGAAATCCCTGGTTAGTACCTTTATTCTCTCTAGCAGTAACTTCAGCCTTAGGACAAGGAGGATCTCTATCAGTTACTAAGAGGGAAACACCGTGAGGATCCTGAAAAGGTCTTGGTGACTTTGCTGTGAGAAGGGTTAGGATTGTGCTAAAGGTTCTGTGACTCACTGTAGTTTGCAACCGAATGGACATCAGTTCCTAACGAACCCTGAGGATCTGAGCTGTGCGGTGTGTGTCCCTCTGCTGCGACAGTTGCATCTATATGACATTTTGCTGGCAATCTTCCGATTAATCATAGAAACACAGACCTCAAGGATTACCAAGCTCCAACCCCCCTGCTGCAGTCAGGGCTCCCAAATCAGCAGGCTTCCATCAGGTTTTTCTGGTGAACCATCTAGTAGACACATTTCTCGTGGTGCTTTCGGGAAACGTGACATTTAGCTTTACTGACCAGGCATTAATTGCAAGCAGGTAACTAAATGAAAGCACCCACCTCAAAGAAAGCTATTTGGGCTTCTTTTGAGTAGATTACAGTCTGTGTCGTGTGAGTCATCTTTGTCTCTTCTCTCAGGGTTTTATCTAAAATATCTCAGATTTCCTTTTTGTGTGAGCTGTTCAGTGGATAAAGCTATCTGTAATTTTACACTGATATAATAACTTATGTCTGCGTTCTCATGAAATGAGACATCTTTTCTGCTTTCCAGAGTTTATGTTTCCTGTAAGCCAATTAAATCACAAGAAAGAGATTTCTTATTCTGTATTCCAAACTGGTAACAGAAAACAACAAAACACTAGGTTCAGGTTAACAGCTGAAAAACATTAAATGCATGCTTTTCTTGATAAGCTCACTTGAAAATATGTGCGGTTAGTTATAAAGATGGCAATATAAATTCCTTAACACTCAGTAGTTTTTAAATTGTATAGATCAATCTAACACAAAAAGTAGATAGTACTTCTTTAAAAAATAATTAGCTTTCTAGTGGGTAGAGCTACAAAGGACTTTAATACCAGACCATCAAAGTAGGTACAGTAAATTATCAGAAACAAATACAGACTTCCTTTAAATCAATGCCAAACTGTGTCAGTGGGCTTTGAGGCATCAATTTAAAATAATGATAGCACACAGAAGGAGCCATTCATCCAGAGATTCTTTAGTCCTTCCAAGACGTGGGAATCATTCAGTTTTCCTAACAGACAGGGAAAATGAGGTGCAGATACAAAAAGATTTGTTGGCAGTCCCAAAACGTGTGAGTGGATGGAGAAAAGCTGAAATGTGCTGCCTTTGGCTCCACAGACCTCATTACCACTGGCACCAATAGGAAACTTTCTGTTAGACTTATCACCCTTTTGAGGTGTTGGATGGTCTCTGTATGGTTGCAAAACATTCTTGCACTGATATATGTAAGGGCAGGGGGCAGTTTATAGTCTCCATGGGTTCATGGGGACTGTACACACGGTTCATTCCTCCCCACATGCCCCACTGCTGCTTTCCCATCCCATGCTCCTCTGGGATTTTTGCACTTTGCACTAATGACTCTGGGATTTTCTTCTCCCATATACTGGAGAAGTGCTTCATTAGTTCCCTCAGCGCTCCCCACAGTTTCCTCATTTTCTTCCTGCTCTTTACCTCTCTACACAGGTACTTTATACAGCTACCCTTGTCCTCACCACTTCTAGAGTTCCTTGCATTTTGCACCACACTAGGACTTGTGCTCCTCCCACACCTTTTCTATCTGGAGAGTGAATCATTTCTGCATCTGTGGCAGGAAGGGCAGAGCCATGCTGGGGATGTTGTTTATGCTGGGAGAAGCTAACAGCAGCTGTGCCAGACCTTTGATGAAAAGACAATTACAGGTCAGATTGATGGCTACTGGATCCCTCACCAGATGCCAGAGCTTCGTATGCCCTGCATTTCCCTCTTCTCGTTTTCTCCAGGATGAGAAGGGCACTGCCTATGGATGTGTAAAATTTCCTAACAGTATGGAATCGGTTGGCTGTGGTGTTCAAAAACCATCTGCATTGCATCTGAAGAAAGGAATGTCACCAAGCTGACTGCAAGGACTTGAAAAGTTGGCCGACTGATTCCCAAATGGAGAGCACAGCTGGCTGCTGTTGGTGAAATTCCACACAGACTCACGACATTCCTGCCGCCCTTTCAGGCTCCAGTTGAAGTCAATGATTGACACCAAGTGCGGGGCTGGGGGCAGAGTACATAGGAGCATGGATCTTTGTGAAATTCAATGTTGAACCCTCTCTATGAGGGTCATAAACGCACTCTGAGCATCCACAATGCCTTTGCCGATGAAATAAACCTGGGTTTGTATTTCTTCTGCAAAGCTGAGTCAGTTTCAAAGCAAGCTTTTCCCTAATTCACCCATTTTGTGTTGAAATCAAATTCCAGTTCCTATATTCTCTACTCCTTTGCCATTAAAAACAAGTTTGATGATAGGTCTCATAGACGCAGTCATGATAAAAATAAATTAACTTATCTAAACTGCAGTTAGAACTTAGTTTTTCACCTACCCAGTTACTGAACCTGTCTTTGCCATTAATGCTAATTCTCACTACCATTAGACATACACATTATATTTACTCACGAGTTGGGTTGTCTATGCTGTGTTGGACTCAGAATGCCTGTTTCTAACCGATTTAGAGTTGGAGATTTGGGAAGAATGATTTTCCAGTATCACTCTGCAAATAAAATAGATGTATTAAAACAAGAACATGTCAGTGACGTTTACCTAAGTCCTTTTTCCTTGCATATTGTTCACTGCATATCATAGTAATTTGGTTCTTGACATTTCCTAGTGAAGGATGTTGCTATCAACAAATTCTTTGAGTATGCTCCCATATGTATGTTCGTAACTATTTCATGTGTGTGTGTTACTCTAGCAGGCAAACAGACATATCTTCCTTTGATGATCTTCCTTTATCTTTCACAAGCTTTCTGAATGAGTTCAAGGCTTTGTTGACTACCATTACTGCATGAAGAAAAGATTCATCCACACACATCACAATTGCTTGGTTGCTAGGAGTTTTTTTAGCAGCATGATTTGGTAATTGGTTCCAAATACAATAATTCAGGAAGACTTACACCTTTGCCTATCTAACAGTGATACAAGAGAACTGGGAGGGGAGAAGGCAATTCATTGCATTCGATGTGAGAGAATGGGAGGGAGCTGCACAGAGCTCCTGCCTCTCTTGCTGTCTCAGGTGGGTGGAAAGAATGTGGAGCCATGGAACTGTGCTCTTTCCCACCATACCTGCACAGCAGACAGCTGCTAAGGCAAGTCAGGAACTGGATGCTGTAATCATCATATGTCCAGCAGACTCACTCACTTTAGTGGAGCCATGAATAAACACACTGACCCTTACTCATGGTAGATTATTATCTCGTGGTCTAGCTGTAAGTGGATTTGCTCGTACAGACACATTGTGTTGCTCTTTTTATGTGCATCTTTCCCTGTGGCAATACCTTGTTCAGTAGGACACAGCTGGGATGAAAGACTTGATGGATCTACAGTCATCCCCAAAAACTTAGAGATCAAATCATGTTCTCACAGAGCTGTTGTATCATGCTACAACCCAACCAAATTCCATTTCCTTCATATTTTCAAGGAACTTGATTTTTAACAGTCTGATTTTCTAAATGCAGAAACAGCCTGAGAAGTTTCCTTATAAGCAGTGGACCAGCTGAATGCAGTTACCTTGTGGAAGCAGATGCAATCCATCTCTCCTGTACCTGCTGCTGCTGCTGCTGCTGCTGCTGCTGCTGCTGCTGCTGCTGCTGCTGCTGCTGCTGCTGGGAATTTAAACCAGCAGCTCTGTGCAAATGCATGAAATTCAGAAAGTGCAGCTGGCTGGAACCAGGAGTGAAAAAGTGCAGCTGAATTTCATTCCCAGGTGGATTGGAATGTTAAAGGAAAACAAACAGCCTGATGGAAGAAAATAAATGAAAGTACCTGTTTTACCTAGACATAAGAATGTGGATGACAACCAAATCTTATGAAATAACATATTAGCATAGTAAGCAATTTTTATCTTGATGCTGTTCCTTTAAGCCATCCTGAATTTTGTTGGGAAAAGGTCTCAAGGCATTGAGCAATCTCTGGTTTGGGCAATCATGTTGCTATGCTTCATCGGTTAAGCACAACAGTAATTCAGAAAATGAAGCCATGCTGCATCTGTCATATCATTTAAAATTTACTTCAGTATAGCAGGTATTTGAAGATTGCAAAATGAACCACATTATCCTGCCAACAGTGGAATCTGTTCTGAACCTGACGGGTTTCTTTAGCTTCCTTTGGAGGAGCCAGAGATTTTCTCCTTCCCCCACCCCCTGCAATATATTCCAGTCAATGACACTATTGAAATTCCAACAGTAATTTATATACAGTAACTGGCTGCCCTCAGATGAGATGCTAAACAATTTCTGTGCAGCAGGCTGCATTTTTTTCTTGTGAAATACCACAGTCTGCTTGCCATCACGTAACATTCACTCTCTTCTCCTTCCACACATAGTTTTTAAGCACTATTGACAGTTTGCAGGAAGGACATTTAAAAAAAAAAAAAAAAAAAAAAAAAAAAGGACGATAAACAACCTTAAGGAAATATCCTTAGATAGGACCATCCATAGGTAACATTACTCACAAAAGTAGTCCCTGTAGCTTAGGAAAAAACTATAAATATATCTCCCATCCTGGAAAGACAAGCATAGTCTCTTTATACTTGCTCTGTTGAAGGCAGTGGGACTGTGCACATAATTGAAGACAACTATGCATCCTAAGCTTTCACAGACCAACACATCCCTTCACACAGCAAAGCTTTCCCTGCTGAGCAGAGAGCCTCAGCAACGAGTCAGGCGGAGAGCCCCTACTCCACACTTTGCCATGGGATTTCAAGGATTTTGAAGTTTTGTTTCGGCACGGGAGGCTTCTCCCGTGTTAATGATCTAACTGAATTTACATTTGTAGAGGGGAGGCCACTTTCTGATGTTTTCACTCCATATTAGCACTCCCTGATTATTGCTAGCATCCTGCCACACTGGAGGAGCCTTCCCAGATCCAAACATTGCTCTATTTTGTGGCGAGTTGTTCCTAGTTGACAATTGTCTTTGTTACAGACCGTAGAGATATCGAAAATCAGAATACTTCATGAAAAAGGCTCGGATCCAGGCAGTTCCATCTGTAATGAGCTCAAATATGAACTTTGCATCCAAAAATCCTTTTGCAGTTTGGGCCTGAATTTTTGATCCAGATGTTCATTCCCTGGCTGTCCTCCTCTGGCACTTCATCACCTCCTCCTCTTTGTGAGAGAAAAAAATCAAACCCTCCCCCAAAAAATTAGCCCCAGCCCTTAAGAAGACCAAATAGGCACTGATATCAAGTCTTGTGTGTGTGATTTTAGATAGAAATCTAAGGACTGGTAACAGATCCACAGCAAAATGTATGATCGAAACGAGTTTGGGGCACACAGTGAGCACCGATGGTGGCGCCTCAGCCCTGCCTGCAGCTCCCCACAGCCGGCAGTGCCATCTTCCTCACAGCCTCCTTCTGCCCCGAAACCCTCGGCCAGCGGATGGGACAGCACAGTCACCGTCACAACCGGGACAGCGACGCCAGCATCTCTTGGAGACCATTTCAGGGCTTTTTTTTTAAGAAAGTTGGTGCGAATCCGTCGAATTGAAGGAGCGGGGAGAAGATGGCGAGACGGTGAACAGTTTGTGAGACGGGCGAAGTTTTTGCGAGGTGGCGAAGTGCCACACGGCGCCTGTAAACACAGCGAGGGGCGGAGGACAAACCACTCCCGCCGCCTCTCCTCAGGCAGCCCCAGCCGCAGCCCCAGCGGCCGTTCCCGCCCTCCGCCCGAGGCCCCTCCCCCCGCTGGTATGTGGCGGGAGGGGCGGCGGAGGGAGGGGGGGAGAGTGGAATGACGCGGGCGCGCGGTCACGTGACGCGCGAGGAATGCTAACAATGTAGCGAATGTCCCGACTGCGCCCCGCACTGCGCCCGGGACGGCCGAAGCGGACGGAGATGGAGAGCGGCCCGCGCCGTCGGGGCCGCCGCCGCAGCGCCGCGTGACGGAGCCGGGAGGGCGCCCCGAGGAGGTGAGGCGGAGAGCGAGGAAGGGTGCGGCGGTGCGGCTTTTCCTCCAGCCCGGCCGCCCCTCGAACTTCCAGCCCGGATGCTCCGCTTCTCTGAGGGGAAAGTTAGAGCCCGGGGCCCGGGGAGGGTGTCCCGCGTGTGGAAGAAGGGCTCGGGAGCCGGGGCGTCCCGTCCCGTCACCCCGGGGGGGGGGGGGGGGGGCGGGGGGGGGGGACCGCCTCAGGCCTCGCCGCTCTCCGGTCGCCGTCTGACGGTCCGGCGCGGGGTGACCCTCGGGCTCGACCCCGGCTCCTCTGCCGGGGCTCCTGCTGGAAGCTTTCCTCCCGCGGGAGGAGCGGCTCCGGGGGCTTCAGCCCGGGCCCGACCGTCCCGCGGGGCCGCGCGGAGGTGCCGAGCTCCGTCCGCCTCAGCTCGCTCCACCGGGCCCGCGGCTCGGCCTGAAGGTCACGGCCCGGATCGGCGCCTCGGCCCCGGCCCTGCCCGCCGAGCGCGGCCGCAGCTCCGCCGCGGGACCCGCGCGTTGTGGCGGAGCGCCCCGCGTAACGCCCCGGGACTGCGGAGGTGGCTGCCGGCCGCGTCCCGCAGCGCTGTGCCGGGCCCGCGCCCGTGAGTCGCGCTGGGACTTGAGCGCCTAGTGGGACGGTTCTGTTAGAAGGAGAGGGAGGGATGTTAGGAAAAGACCTACTTTAGGTTCTTGCCGTTTTTAGCGTGCGTGCGCTTGTAAAGGGAAGCCTGGTTTGTAACGCAGTGAAATTCCTGGCTCCTCTTCGCCAGGTTAGTGTTAGAACTCCAGCATGAAGTGGCCAGGCTGTTTCTCTGCGCTTCCGAGCTAAAAAGCCCGGTGCGATGCCAGGAGGCTGCGAGTTAGCAGGCAGCTGCGTCCGTTCCTTCAAACTTCAGTCCTTACTTCTGCAGCCGTCAGTAGTTCCTCACCGTGCCGGTGCGGTTGGAGGCTGGGAAGCAACTTGCCGGCTCAGGGTTTGGGACTTTGCTCCTGAAGCACAACTGAGCTTTAGTTTCTTGCTGGTGTCCCATCCCACAGAGCCACTGGCATATGCAGCTATTCAGCCTTTCGTTTGCTGAATGAAGAAACTGGCGTGAGTAGGCAGTGGTGCTGGGATGGCAGACTTCAGCACGTGAATGCAGCGTGGCTGGTTGGATGCTGCCAGGCAGCTATTGGTATTTCTCAGATGAAGAAAAAAAATCTCAGTTACTCAAAAATTGTTCTGACTTAGTGTTGTTAAAAATATTTGAAAGATTATTTATTTCTTCAGAGTAAAAGACAAGCTTCTAATTAACACAGAACATGTAACATTTTAGCAGGAGGAAAAAAAACCCAAACCAACATTTAAAGAAACCCAGCACCTTACAAGTATCTAATCAAAATGGCTTGAAGCTCAAAAATAATTCTGAGAAATCACTTCTCATCACAGCAAAAAGGCTATGGATATATCTATGCTGTAGGCAAGGTGAAGTTTTAAGATTCAGAGTTACCTAATGTCCAGATGTACAGTCACAAATCCTTAGACACTGTTTCTTTTGATGTGTATAGACTTTAAAAAGCAGACAACTTGTTTGTCTTTGTAAATTATCTGTCATACTTAATGTCCCCATTTCTTGGCTGATCTTGAATATCTAGTTAAAAAAAAAAAAAAAAACAAAAAAACCTTCTGCAAAATATGAAGCACATCTACAGTTCCAAGTTATGTTGTTGCTGTTCTCATTTGTACTGTCTGAACAATCAGTGTTGCTTTCTAGTTTAGCTGTGCTGTGAATGCAAGCTGAAGAAGCTGCCAGCTGGCTTGACCTAGCATTATTAGACTCAAGCCTAGGCTAAAGGTCACAGCAGTTCTTTATGTGAAGCATGTGTGTAAGTAGGAAGGCAGTTCTTTGTAGCAAAAAGGTGGGGAGGGCTGGAGCTCTTCCTGCACATCCCAGGCCTGCGGGTTGGCACGGGGTTTGAAAAGAGGAAGAACAACCCAGATTCCTAAACCCAGCCATATGGTGCCTGCTGCTGTCAGGAAAGGAAGGGCAGTCATAGATCACTTAATTGCTCTGTGTCTTTCAAGCGCCAGCAAGTTATGATGTGGTCCTAAGAAGGCTGTGATGCTGTTTTTGCTCTTTAACGCTTTACTAAGGCTCTGTGCTATTTGTTGCTAAATTCTAAGTAGTCAAAATTCCGTCATGATCCTTCAGTTGCTTTTATCATTGTTGAGCATAACAAAAGCATATTTTCTTGCCTAATAGCTGATTTTGCAATAATACCAAAATTTGAATAGTACCGTTGCTTTCTTTAAAGCAAGTGATGTGTTTAAAGCAAGAGATGTTGCTAAGTGCCAGTTTGCGTGTTTGGGCTTATGCCACTTACTCTTATATGAGTTAAGTTGCAGGAAATCCTTATAGTGCTGAGTCAAGAATTCAAGACTAATTCTATAATTCTAATATGTTAGAAGTAATCATTAGATAATTGTGCATCTAAATGTTAGCAAGAGATTGACATGGGTCAGCACCACCTGTGTGGCCTCCTTTGTATGCTCTCCAGCAGTTTGACCCAGGAGCTCTCAGCGTTGGTCTGTGCTGCTTTTCAGCTTGGATGGCTCTGGGCTGCTGTTACATTGTACAGAAATTTCCCTGGCATGCTTAGTTAAGAGGGTAAGATGTAGACAGTACTGAAGGTGATCAGTCTGTGCTCCTGTATTTCAAAATGCTGAGCTATTATAAAGGACTCTGGGGTCTGACTTGGCTGTAATTTGCCCTGTGCTCAGTTCTTGGTTTAGAGGAGAGCTTGACTCTCTTGACAGTAAACCCCGTGCTTATGAGGAGGTGATGATGGGCTTCAAGGAGTGTGTCTGGACTCCTGGCTTTCGTGTAGTAATCTGTTTGCTTGTCTGTGAGAGGTGGTGGTATTAATTGTAGAGAAATTGTTGTTTTGTTGGGAATGCTGCCACTGTCACAGGAACTGCAATGAGTGGAGTGTACGACTATTTCTGGAGAAGCTTTTTGTGATATAAAAAAAAAACACTGCAGGCAGAAGTGAAGCCCCTTCATAAAGAGGGAAGGAGGGCTGAGAGAAAAGTTCTGCTCTACTTCTGAGTGACCAACCAATACCAGTGCTTCACCAGCTTCTGCGTTTGCAGCTTCAAAACAGCTGGACAAAATTCTGACCTTCTCAATGAGGCAGCTGGAGCAGCAGGGCAGAGTCACCTTGCAAATGCTGGCACTGGTGGCAGAAGCAAACTTGTGGCATCAGTAGTATATGATGCTTCTTTTTAATCCTTTTTCTGAAACGCATCTGTATGTAATGTCTGGCATGTATAGTGACAATGCCACAAAGACTCAGTAAATGAAGAATTCTGATTACCTCTTGATGCTGTAAGGATGTTGCAAGTTGCAGAGTAGCTCAGTTCTACTCTGTAGTTGTATAGCTGTCCTCTGCTGCATATCAGAAGAGGGTTGTGAAGCTGTATCACAGCTGTGTTTCAATCTCATGTGAGCTGCACGAGCTTCTTCAGCCTTTTGTGCTGTTACTGAGTAGCTCCTTCCCCCTGTCTTTTCCTGTGGGGCAGAGTTGAGGCATGTATCACCCTTTTGATTCCCCCACCTCTGTACCCTTTAAAAATAATACAAAGAAAGGAAATAAAACCCTTCTTCCAATTCCAGGGAGAATTCTTACCTTGAACATTGGCTAGAACATTCATGTGGAACGGCAGAAAATCTTGTCGCTTTGTTTTTGAAATGCTGGCAGTTGCTATGGCTAGAATCATCAATATTTCCATTATAAGTCTTTTTCATGAACTCTTGAAACTGAGCTCAGCTAGTGTAAAACAAACAAAATCTTAAGTGGGGGGAAAAACATTTCATGAGCATGCTCTTCCCTAATTATGAAACAGGATAGGCTTGTCCAGGATTTGGTTATGCAATGGGATGGGAAACCTGCCACAATTAGGTAGTGTATGAAATTCTCAAGCTTTGTAGTTTCTGAGGTTTTTATTTTCATTTATTTTCAAAACGAAGCCTTAAAGAAAAATGCTTTTTTTGATTATGTTGAGAAAGCTTTTTGAAATCCTATTCTTAAAAACAGATAAAGTGATAATTGTCATTAATGGGAATCCAGCTGTGACAGCCTAATAGGCTAAACTGATTCACTTTCACTTGATTAATTGTCATGCTGTCCCTTCGGAGGTGTTTACAGTATCAACTTAATTACACGTGCTTTCTGTTTTCTTTCGTTTCAGACGCCGTTGGTCTGTGAAATGATGACTCCAGAGATTTTCTGTTGGAGATGTGAAGATCGTGAGCTGAAGTAAAATGCTGGCAGAAACCTTTTGAGGATTTTGCCATTTTTCTTTTTCCCTTTGGAGGATTTGTGTTTACAAGAAATTGATACCATTAAGCGACACTTTTTAGAAATAAAATAACTAAAAAAAAACCTCCCCAAGAATAAAGCTGTATTTATGCTCAGAGAAAACTGGATTAACAATGAGGCCAAAGACTTTTCCTGCTACGACATATTCTGGAAACAGCAGACAAAGGTTACAAGAGATTCGAGAAGGTTTAAAGCAGCCATCCAAATCTTCAGGTCAGGGACTACCAATTGGACCAGGCAGTGAAACTTCTCTGGACCCTAAGATTTTAGTAGGGAAGGATGCTTCAAGGCAGCAGCAGATGAGACAAACGGCAAAGTTTGGACCTTATCAGAAAGCTCTGCGAGAAATTAGGTATTCTTTGCTACCTTTTGCTAACGAGTCGAGCAATACAGCAACTGTTGAAGTGAATAGGCAGATGCTCCAGGAGCTGGTGAATGCAGGTTGTGATCAGGTACGTATGAGTTTGAAGAGGGGGGAGTTGTCACTGTGATCAAAATAAATTTATGTTTGATCTTAAGGTAACAATTTTGATGGTGGTTATCAAGTTTGCTGGTTTAAAAAAATGCACCAAGTTTTTTGGCAGTCGTGTAGCTGAGCAGATGAACTTGCTGTTGAGAGGCATGTCTAGTGTGGGTTAATTCATGTTATAAAGATGGTTGTGGTGACCTGTAGGACTTCTGTGATTTCTTAATTTGATGTATGAGGCTTAACAGAGTAGCATAGCTTTTTTTTTTTTTTTTTTTTTTTTTTTTCTTCTCAATACTGTGGCAAGTATTAACTGCGAGTACAAGGGTGGAATTCTAATATGTATAAACTCTACTCACTGTCAGAAGCAAATGGAAGAAATGATGTATGTGGTCTTCTTTGAAGCAGCTCACTTGCTGTTTGCAAGGAGCAAGTGTAACTGGCTGCGTGCCTTTTCTTCTTTACCTTCTTTGCTTCCACCGAGGGAGGGTAGCCCTGTCTCAGATTAGGAATTCAGCAGAGATGCTTGTTTTTGTCATCCTGAGATGGGTGTTGGAATACGAGAGCTGCTCTGAAAGTAACGCCTCCTGTTTTGTTATCTTGGTCCAGAAAGTCAGAGGCAGATGTTGGTGGGATGGCAGTAGAGGTTGAACCTTCCCACCAATACTCCATTGCATTTTGTTGCTGTGCAACAGATGGCAGCAGAGGGGCAGTCTGACACAATGGTGTCTGGCACGGAAGTGCATATGAAGCAAAGGTGTGTCATTAAGTTCCTCCATGTGGGGAAAAAATGGCACCTGCTGACATTCATTGGCACTTGCGGAGTGTTCACGGAGACCAAGCAGTGGCTGTGAGCACAGTGAGGCAGCGGGTGGTGTGTTTCCACAGTGGCAACAATGGGTCACCTGCACTGGTGCATGTTGTTGTGAGCATGACATGCTCTTGTTCATCACTGGCAAAAATGCATAACTAATGGCGGTGACTGTTGAAAGAGAGAGCAAATCCTCGGCTACAAAACACTATCAAATAGTGTTATTGTGCTCTTTGTATCTGTTGTAGTTTCCATGGAAATGAATAGGAGGCATTGCTTGCAGAGAAACCTCTGTATGCTCTCAGGACCATTCACGTGGAGCAGATCATGGCCTCTTTATGCTTAGCTGCACGTACCTTGGATGTGCTTCTAGTTTTGGTACTGACTTTCACCTCTGCCCAAGAATAGCTCAAAATGTCTCTCTTGAGAGAAGAGTGTGCTGTTCCTGGTTCAGGTTCTCATTGCTGAAGGAAAAAACTTTTCCCATGTGACTAAATGACAGTTGTTTGTCAGGCTGAAACAGTTCATAGTCCTTGAAGTAAACTATGTTCAAAACTAACACACCATTTTTGGTATTCCCTTGATTTCAGAATTTAACCTCTGTTCATTCGTGGCAGAAACTTAATCAGTTGGCTCTCCTAGGCCGTATCCCAAGTCTGTGTAACAAGGCAGTCTGCGTTTCCTTAGAGCTATATAGGCATTGATTAGTGCTGTTCCTGTTCCATAGAGTTTATGCTGTGTGAGATTAATCAGAGGTTGCACAGCAGAGTGAGAAGTGCTGCAGTACAAGTGAACCACTTTCCATTTCAGTGAAACAAGATGGCTGTAGTGAACAATAATTCAGCTTGTGGAACTGGAGTTTTTGCTGTCACCTTAAACATGCCATGAAAGCAATGTTTTTTAGAATTCCACTCTCCAAATTTGCCGAGCTGTTCAGGATGAGAGCAATCCCTGTGGGTATGAGCCAAGGTTAAATGAGCACAGCTGGATTCTGGATTGAAATGTGCATTTGGTAGGTTACATGGACAAATCATTCACATGCAGAACAAGCTTGTTGAAATCTTGGAAAGCGTTTTGAGCACACTGCAGCACACAAATGTGAAGCAATGTATAAAACAGAAATACCCAAGCACCTGTTAAAATGTCTTGGCATTAAGCATAGTGTAATGCACTAGACGTGCAACATTCTTAGCTGTTTTGCCTTAAATGTTGATACAGTGGTTTTACTTATTACAGAGCACAGAAAACGAACACTGATTGTTTGCTACCTTCTTGGTTCTGCATTTTTTTGTTCTTCCTTACTGGCTGTGATTGTTCCATCTTAGCATTTAACTTTCTTCCCCAGCTGTGACTTGTTACATGGGAATGGATTTACTGGGGCAATCCCTTCGGTGTGTTTTGAGTTCAAAACCTAAGCGTAAGCATGATCACGTTTGGCTAGAGACCAAGCAGAGATTCCAGAACTGGATTCTGGTGTCTGAAAGGGCTGTGTTTCCTGATGTGGGTCCAGGCCATGTGAAGCTTGGCCCTCTCAGAGCTTTGTGAATGAATGGAGCTTCTTGAGTTGGTGTGAATGGTATCTGGCCCTGGAGAGTGGTGTAAGGTGACAGCCCTGATTACTATGTGTAGATTCTTCCTTTCCTCCTGGTGCCTGTGTTGCTCTGAATTAACAATTGAAATGTTTCAGAGCATAACGTGAAGTAATTTCATCAGCCATTCCGAGCTCTCTTGCTTGTGAATCAAAAGTTCAAAATCTCTAGCATGGGGCCATCTTCTATAGTCCAGTGGGCAGATTATGAATCTTCAGCAGAACAGGGTAAAATCAGCTTCAGCTTCTTTGGACATGGTTTAATGTACACCTGGACCCAGTGCTAATGTGAGGCTGGTAAGTGGGCTTTGCTGCCTTCTTTGCCCTCTGACCCGGGCTCTTTTTATATATATATATATTTTTTTTCCCCACTGCAAACTTTCTCAAATTCCAGAAAGAAGTATGTGAGAATGAAAGGACTTCAACCCATGGATGACCTACTTTAGCCTTTCCTTCCAGCAAGCCTCACAGTGTAAGATCTTATCCTTCCTGCCCTGCAGATCCTGTTTTGCAGACTACTGATCAGATGTTTAGTGGCTGCAAGCATCTGAAGTTGATGATTAGGTAGATTAAGAAGCTCTAATTATGGGTGTTCTAGGAAGCTAAGAAACCATAACTTTCAGTTATATGACTCTAACATTAAATTTGTTCTTGTGTGAGCTCCGTTTTACAATTGATGCTGTTTGGTGTTGTAGGTGGTGTTTTTGGGCAGTAATCCTGCCTGCAGTGATGATCTGCTCTGGTGGACACTGCCAGTGTCAGCGTTCTTCCGTTTATTTATTGGGCCATTCTAAGGATTTCTGGAAGGATGGAGGGAAGTGGTGTCAAGGAATGAGAAGTTACATTTTTAACAATGGGAAAATTGGTAAGGGAAGGTGCAGAGAGGTAGAATTAAGATCAGTTTAGAATTGGTTTAATTAGAGAAAAAGGGAACATCATAATCTCCTATTCCTTTCCTCTTGCTGTGTGAAAGACCCAGGCAGACAGGAAATTGGTTATAGGCTGGCTGATAGACTTAACAAGTATACAGAACGTGGTGAAATTCAGGGTAAATACAAAACCTGTGTCTTTCAGTCATTCTAGGTGTTACGCATGCAGATGTCCTTGAAATCAATTAGGAGATTGTGTGTGCCCTTTTGAACAGCCCATGTTCCTTCACAAAGGTTTGTTTTCAGCTGTTTGTATTGCTTATGGTTTCATGGTGACGTTGGGCTCCAGAAACCATAGGGGGAGTTTGCTATTGACATGGCAGATGCCAGGATTACACTTCTATAGATAGGTAGATATCTTTATATATATACAGACAATTAATCACAGTTCTTCTGAAACAAGAGGAGTAGCTTGTCTGTTCTTTGGTGAAGTCATCTCTTCAGCAGTAGTTATCTAGAGAGTACTGATCGTTTTTTATTAGAGCAGTGCAAATTGTTGGAACTTGTAGAGCACAACTGCAGAAGGCCCGACCTTAATTGTTGCAAAATCTCAAAGCCAGAAGGGCTGGTAATACACCGTTATTTCCTAAATACAACTTCTTAGGCTTGAAAGCGTAACATGCAGCTGCTGCGAGGACACGAGGGCACAGAGTGTTGTTCCTGCGGGCTGATGAACTCCTGGAATCACCTGGGGCAACTGGACGGCGCTCGGCGTGGTGCTAAATGCAGCTGCTGTTGTGCATTGAGTTCTTCTAATGAATAGATGCAATTGAGCATATGATCAGTGGCATTCCACCAACCTGAATGGGCTGTACTGTACTTACTGTACTTCCTCCGAACATAAACAGCAGCTGACATTGTAGTGCAGAGTGGGCTGCGGCGGTTCTGGATGAGCTGAGGAATGCAATGCGTTTGTCAGTTCTTTTCCTCAAGCGGGCCCTTTCTGTTTGAGCCATGATGGACCTTCTGAGTGAAGATTTCTAGACAGCTTGAATGGGCAGCTATTTTTGACAGTGATGTTTTAGGGTTTTTCAGAGGCTGCATATCTCTGGGAACGTGCAGTACGTACTGTAGCCTGAACAACTGTGTGAATGTGAAGCATGAAAGTCCTTACACTTCACTTCTTCCAGAGGCTTTTAATAAATATCTGTGTAATAAAGCCCCCCACCTGTGCTAATGCCAGAACATTCAGAAAAGGAAGATCTGTGCTTTGGGCACTGATTACAGTGTATCCCATGGAACTGGAATGGTGTTTGTGGATACTGTAATGAGTACAAGAATATCAAGCTGACCATCTTATCACCTGCATTACACTGAGTTCTTGAAATTCGGGTTGTAGAAGTATGTGGGTTCGTTATTTTTTCTTCTTGCATTGCAGGATTGTCTCGATCTTCTCATCATGGATTCCATCCTTTTTATTATTATGTGTGTAGAACCAGTGTTCCATGTCATAATTGCATATAATCCTTGTCTTTTTGTTTTGGTAACGTGTTACAGACAATGCGTAGCTGGGGTTTTGCTTCTAGTAAAATATCTTTTGCAATCTGTTTGCTGAAGAGGTGAAGCCTAGGAAAGGCAGCTTGCCTTCATGGTGAAGATGAGTGAATTTTATAATATCCCTGAGCAAGTGGGGGAATTAATTTCATAATAAAAGTCTT